TCTCTCTCTCTCTCTCTCTCTCTCTCTCTCTCTCTCTCTCTCTCTCCACTGCCAACGATGAAGTCATTGTTTACTTCCCAACAGGAGGTTTCCTAGGAGACGGTAGTTTATCAGCCAAGCTCTGACGCAAGCCTCAGTTCCTGCCCGCTGACTGGAAAAGTGTGAATTCATGTAGGAAACGGCGTCTCGGGCTCCGTGTGTTTCACAGAATGTTGTGCATTTTTCTCACTCACACACACACACACGACACGTGTTTCAGCAGCTTGTCTGGATTTGGTCACTTTTACTGTGTGTTCACTGTTTCATTACTTTAAACCTTTGCTTTGTACTTTTTGGGCCGTACGGTCACTGCTTGTGTTAGATTTACTCGCTCCCAGAGACTCTGGGGTATTTCTGCGGTTCAGTCGTCGGACGCTTGAAGCATGAGCTATATTTGGAGGCATTTCCGTGCTCCCACCGTGATGCATGAGCTAGATTTGGTGGTATTTATGTGCCCACTTTCATGGCGTGCCAGTGTCATGACGTGCTCCTCTTAAAAGAGGCCGTTGGCTATAATTAAGTCCCAATCCACAGTCGCACATTATCCCACTAAATTATGTGTGACTTCGAGTCAAACTAGAAGCAGCCGGCCAAGAAGCAAATGAGGCCGTTTTGACGTTTTCAGTTGAACAATATTTTCCATCGTTTTTGAATTAAAGGTTGGGTGTTTTCAGATATTGAGTAAGAGTTTTAACTGTCATAACTATCAGCTGCATGTTTGTACATGTGCAAGCGCATACTTTTTTCTATTTTTTTATGAAATGACAGTTCATCTGAAGGCGTCAAAAGTTGTGACCACCGTTGCATCGAGGTTGCACAACGTGTGTTGCATGTTTCAGACACAAACCTCTGCCCTCACTCCCTTTTATTTTTTGCTCGGTTACTCACTGAAAGCTCTAACGGTACCGTTTTTTTCAAATAGGAAGTGAGACACATAGGCTCCACCCACAACAGGAGCGCGCTGCCGTTCGCCGGGTTTGGCCCCAAAGTTGTGACCAACCAGTACAACAGCCCGTCCGGTCTCTACTCTTCAGAGAACATCAAGGACTTCAACTCGACCGTGGACGAAGTCAAAACCATCGCGATGGCCAACGAGCCCAACAACCAGTAAGTTGGGGTCGGGTGATCAAAGACAAAATCCAACTGTCTTTGACCCAATACAACAACAATCTGACCGTATGTTAGCGTTTGAAGTGTACATATTTATTGTATTTGTTTGGTAGCAACATCTAAATGTTGCTTACTTGGCTCTATTGGTTCTTACTGGGCTCTGATTCGCCCTCTACTTGCTCTCCAGAGTGTCCACATACGTCACAGAGAGCAGGTCAAAGTTCAACTACATGCTCAATGTCTCCACGTCACACGCTTTTTATTGATGTGTTTCACTTATGATTCACAGCCCATTTGGATTAAGCAAAACCCAACAGACTATATAGTAGTACTGAAGTTGTGTAGTGGTGGGTAAGTCTGTTGGGTTTTGCTGAGCAGAGAATGGAGTCTTTCTCCCTCAGTGTGTTTGTTGTTGCTTTGTTCCGCCTCGTCGTTGAGAGCCGTGAGGAGGCCGTCCCTCCGCTCTGATCGTCCACTTTAGCTCCAAACATTCAGTTCACAAAAGCACTGTTTTGAAAAGTTTGATCAAAGAGTTCCAATGTTTCATCTTAAGAGAAAGAAGCACAACACGTCTCAGAATCAATCACTTTATTGATTGGACACATAGGTGAGAGTGGATTCTCAGTATTTCTGATCAGTTCGCTCAGCAGAAATAGAGTTGCAGAAGGCTGCGTGATGCGTGTCTTTACAAGTCACAGTAATGTGGATATGATGAGGTATTCACTCAGCTATTGGCGAATGAAGGTAGACAATTGGATCACTTCATGCCACCTTTAAGACTAGGAATGCAATATTAAACTCCATCACAAAACAGAATTAAGAAAACAAAACTCTGGAGAATATGGGACAGTCTTCCATCTCATCTCTGTTGGGTACTAAACAGCAGAATAATTTATTTTTTTGTGAAAATAAGCATGATACACAAAAGAGCAGAGGTCTTATGATCTCATGGACTTTTCCAGCCGTGCTCTTTATTTATCAAACAAAGTGTTTGCCGTGTGTTTCCTAAGAACGCGTTGACGTTCCTGCCTCCTGCAGACGTGTTGAAATGAACCCTGTTGCTTCGTAGGGCTCCATCGGATCCATCGCAGACAGGCAAGCGGCCGGCTGTAGCAGCAGATTCTGAGGTTTACAAGATGCTGCAGGAGAACCAAGAGTCCGACGAGCCTCCGCGGCAGTCGGCTTCATTCAAAGTGCTTCAGGAGATCCTTGAGACGGGTATGGAGCCCGCTTATCACTCCCAGCTTTTAGATTACATTACAGATTTAGGGGACTCAAAATCCCAATGAAAATGACGCGTCATCGATGTGTGTAGAACCAGCGGAGCCTCGAAGTACGTAGAGCTGTTCCTCTCTGTGTTTGTAGGGGACCCTGATAAACCGTCGGGGTTCAGGAGTGTGAAACCACCCGCCACAAAGTTCGGCTCATCGGTGGGGAACACGGACAAGTTACCCTCCTGTGACAAATGTGGGTCGGGGATCGTGTAAGTATTCTACGTTTCCTCTGCACATGTTCATTTTGCAGCACTGAAGAAGTTCACCACAGTCAGTTATTGCATTTATTTACCGTCCACATTGTGACAAAATGTTGCGACTCAACACAAAGGGCCCGAGAGTGTCTCTGTCTGGAGTTTGTCTCCACCTTGTGGCTGAGTTTAGTTAGGACCGAAGGGAAGTCTTGTTGCCTCTGTTGAGATGTGTTACAACAACATTTCCCCTTAAAATGTATTTAGTTGCTGATATCCTATGTCAGCCCTGGTTTAGGTTAGAACTCATTCTACATACAGACCCACACACTGTTGTCTCACGGAGTATATGAGAATCTAAATGGCCGGGACGTTTGTTGCATCTGTCTCTTTGTTTCCTGACATTTCTCCCTCCTGTCCGTCTGTAATAAAAGCATAATAATAAAGCCGTTTCTTTTGGAAGGAAATGTCCAGCAGTCACATATCGGTGCGATGTTTGTAGTACCGTTGGACATGTAGTGAAGCTTCTAACCTTTTTTTAGTGCTGCACATACCATGAAAACCTGATCCAAATCAGTTGAACCCAGCTCATGATTTAGTGTCTGGATGAACGACATCATTTAACGAGATCTATGTGATGTGTCTCCTTCAGGGGGATGGTGGTAAAGCTGAGGGACAAGTTCCGCCACCCCGAATGCTACACCTGCACGGACTGCGACGTCAACCTCAAGCAGAAGGGACATTTCTTTGTGGAGGAGCAGATTTATTGCGAAAAGCACGCACGCGAGCGAGTGACTCCTCCAGAGGGCTACGACGTGGTCACCGTCTTCCCCAAGTAGAGCGCCTCGCTGAGCTCTGCCTCGGACTGCACGCCACTACGGGACGCCGCGACGTGACCCAAGACATTCCAACATTTAGCTCTTGCTACTCCTAAGACTCTCCAAGGGTCTTTCTCTCGCATTAAGCTTCAGTACAGTCACTGGTAGGCAGGACAGTAAAGAACTATATCTTTGAAAATGTTGATTTGCACATTGACATCTACAAAAGGAAAGTTGATTGATACTATGAAATGATGGCATTCTTTTTTTCTTTTTTTTTTCTTTTCTCTCCCAAAAAATAATGTATCATTTTCCATTTGATTGACACCCACTGTGTTTAAATGATATTTGTCTTTGTACATGTTCAGTATGTTCGTTTGAATCCTGGAAACAAAGGAAAGCCACACTTTTTCACCCAGAGGGACATGTTTTATTAAATAAATAGATGTACTTTTATGCAGCAGAAACACATTTGAATATCATTACCAAAATAAATATTTTTAGCTCAAACCAACTGTCTTGTCCTCAATGATTGTGCTTCACGGAGTGGGACTGATTGTAAGTTGCTTTGTCATGAAATGATGTTCTGAAACTCGCACTTCTTATCTTAAACACTCATTTTAAACCCATTTAGTTTAAGTGCTTTAAAGAACTACGTTCAGTCTGAAGGTAGAGAAAGCTGCTGCACTGATGGGTCTGGAAGTGCGGCATGCCTTAAAGGTTTAACACAGAGAGCAGGGCAGCAGCTTTCTAAGTTACTCACAGTTCCTCATAAAAAAAAAAATAATAGTAAATAAATAAAAATGCTCGCGATTATAAAGAGTCAAAAGCGCCACGTGTTTTTCGGGTCATCTTCCCCGCAGACTGACTTGAAATAGAAGGTAACGGGGATGACAGCGGACGGGTCTCTCGATAACATCTTACACTTCATCTGAGGAGAGAACGTGTAACGGTGTGTCTGCTCGCAGACCGCTGAGGTCGCACAACCGGACTGTGCAGGTGACGCTGAGTCCCACTCCGCAGAGGACACGCTGGTTGGGCTGCTCGGGTCGGACCCCACCGGCGGCAGGTACTCTGGCACGCGCCCATGCTGGTCGGCCATGCGCAGAGTCTCGCTCAGAGCCCAGATGTAGTTGTGGGCGAAGCGCAGAGTTTCGATCTTGGTCATCTTCGCGTCCTCGGGCAGAGTCGGCAGGATTGTCCTCAGCGCGTCCAGAGCGGAGTTCAGGTTGTGCATCCGCGAGCGCTCCCGGTCGTTGGCCTTCGTTCTGCGCCTGCCCCGCTGTCCGGACTGCTCGCGTCTGCTTTGGGGTCTCGGGTTTGTCTTTAGGGAGGCTTCGCCTCCGGTCACGATCAGCGGTTTTCGTGGCTCGTGTTCACTGGTGTCACCGGCCTCGTTCACGCGGCTGCGGACAGCTGGAGGAAACCCGCAGAGGGTCACTGCGGCTCTGGATGGGCGCAGGTCGTTTGGGGAGCACGGTGCTTTGGGAGACATACTCTGCAATAGAAAAACAATTGACATAGAATCAAATATCTAATGCATAACCATAAATAATATTAGCCAACCACTGTTTCGTTTGCATTAAGGAAATAATGTATTAAAGAGTCAGTTAATCAAGTTTTGTTTAAAAATAAAACTATTTTTTTAAAGCTTTTGAGTCTGAGCTCTTTTTTGGTGAGCCTCTAACATGTTCATGAAATGATTTCACTTATTATAACCAATGCAGCTTTTTTACCTCAAACTTTTTAAAGCGTTAACAAGAGTCATGTAACTCAGCAATCTATCTGTAAAAGACCAAATACCAGATATTAAAAAATGGATGGACTTATTTGCACTTACCTGACAGGTGATGCTTGGATATGGAGACATCCAGTTGTCCTTGTCAATCCTCTCTTGGAGCTGGAGGCAGCAGACGCTGTATGTGCAGCTGACAGTGAGGGATGGATGCGCATCTCTGCTATTTTATATGGCCTTTATCTTATCTTTTTGCCCGGTGGACGCCTGAATCAACAGCGACTGTCAGGGGGCCAATCAGCTTCCAGGCAGCGCGTCCTTCACCCTCTCCCCCTCTCGGCAGTCGTCACACTGCTCAATTTCTTTGTGTCATCTTTGTAATTTGAGTGGTGAATTGCCATATATGTAAGCCAAGATAAAAGTAACCAAATGTAATTGTGAGATCAAACTTGATTTTGTAGACGAGACTTTTTCTTGGCTTTCCCCAAAAGTCTGCCTAAAATCAGCTTGAGCTGCTTCTTTGGGGATCTTGTAGTAACTGTCTATATACTGTTCGTTATATTGTGACCCCACCGAGCAAAAAGTGCTGGATGTCTGGGTAAAATAACACTATTGGGATATTTATCGTGGGCTTCAGTGAGGACACGCGTGTTTCTGATAAACAACGTAGAGATCATCACTCAGCCTGCAAACTGAACTGTATTTTTCACATTTAGATTTCAGTCAAATTTCATGAGCGGTGTAGTTCCAGGCATTAAAGAAAAAAACTGACAGAGTAAATAAGTATATGAATATAAGTCTTCATTTTACGCATAACTCTTCATCCACATCCGAGCATTATGAGAATGACCTGGTACACGAGTGTGGATGGTAAGTGTTCATCTCCTCTGGAAGCGCTTAAGGCCAGTCAGTTCTGTATTTGTGCAGCATGCAGTAATAACGTCTCCGTGTTAATTGAAAAAGAGACGCTGGAAAGGTAGTCAACTGGTTGTCGTATCTCTTACAAAAAGGCTACGGAGAAATATTTAACACATCACTGTATTTCTCTCCAGAAAGATGTTTTGTTAACCACGAGGTGTGGGTCTGCATTTGCAAGTGTCATCTGATCTCTATCTTTAAGGATACTTGTAATGCCACATTTTACGCACTCGAAATATTGGCACATGCCGTGCTGGGTACATGGTGGGAATAATAACTTCTTCTAAAATTAACTTCAGATGCACCACAGTACTGAAAACTGAGGTAGAAACCACAGCAGCTCCTCAATTTATTTAAAATAAATTGTTTATTAGTACGTATACAGTTGCGTATTTTTGGTTGTGCGCATATCACATGGCCTGGTAAGGTTGGCATTAAATAGCTTTGAGCTGCTTGCAAGTTGGTCCTTGCTTGAATGTTGCCAACATTCATTTTAAGGAGTCACTTATCTCCGTGTTAGCTCACAAAATCTGATCTACATCAAAGGAACTGAGACGTTTAATGCCACATATATTTGGACAAACATTCGCCCAATGCCTTAGAGCGCAAAGCTCAGGTAGTTGGAGAAGGACAATTACGCATGGGGCCACCTAACGTAGAGTATTCGAAAAGGAGAAACCTTTTGTGTGAACTGATAGTACAAAGGGTCCTGTTGTGTGCCACAACAATAAAATCCCGATTTATTCTGTAATGTGAGCCTACATGTGTGCGCTATGACATCTCCAAAAACATGTCCACTATCGCCACAACTCAGGGGCGCATTAGATTAACTTTACTTTTGGAGAGTTAAAGATTAGTAAAATATGTCAACAACACGCAGACACGTTTCAGCCCTGGTGGGGGAGGAGGAGAGGGAAGAGGGGGGAGTGTGGCAGAGCTCAAACATGATTTACAATTGCCAACAAAGGATCACAAAAAGCTCTCCTTAACTTTCTGTCTAAATATGTGTTTTGGAAACAATCTGATAACCATATGCTTTCAATAAACTGGACAAATACGCCGTTGAGATACGAGATGGTGCCTTGCTGTTATAAAAGGCACAGAAAGTCTAAAGTAAACGGAATATTACCACTTTACAAATATCCATTGATGCCAAATCCATATTCGGATAGCGTGGACAGGTGTGGGTTTGAAGTTGTCAGCCTCTCTTTTTATCAGTGTGCCGTGTAGTGTCCTGCTTGTTATGCAAAGTGTAGGCAAACATAAGCGCCCAGTTGCTGTGGAAATAGCAGATATCGGAGCAGACTTGGTACGAAAACTGATTTAACAATATTTAACAATAAACCGAGCAAGCTCCGGAGCAGGTGATACCTGCCCGATGCTCCTGATTAATACTTCCTCAGCTGCAGTCTCCTTTGATTATTTATTTAGCGAAATCTATATATTATTATTTTAGCAAACAGAAGTACCAGGTGGGGCTTTATTTTCGTCTTCAGCTTTTTGTTTGAAGGACGTTTTGAGGGGGGCAATCAAAGTCCAACAACTCGCTGACCAGATTGTTGTCATCCCGAACTAGCAGCGAAGCCTTTCAATGTGCCCCCCCTTCCCCTTCTTCTTTTTCTGGCAAAGAGCTGCCGGGTGGGAAAAAAGAGAAAAAGGAAACTTCTTCAAGATAGAAAAAACATCTTAAAAACATTTAATTGCAACCCGGATGCCATATGTACACCTCTTGTGAAACCCCTCAACAATGTGACTGCCTTTTAGAAAGTATGGAGTGCGTCTTTGGAGACGTGTGCGCTTTTGGAGAGGTGCGCGCATCGTGACCAGAATGACCCCGAACACACTTTACACAAGAAGTAATTCACTTTTAACGTGCTTTAGAGTTCCCTTTCACAGGCAAGGCATTGTACCTCTTACCTCAGCTTTAGAAGACAGTGTACACCAATTACAGCGGAATAGCTGTCCTATGGACACAGTTTGTCTTTTAGAAAAGATGTGAAGCACGAGTAGGGCTGTGGCTGCAAGCCGCCCTCTTTCTCCTCCTAAACTAATACAGAAGGGGGTTTCTTTCTTCTGATAGCTTGTTATTGTTTATTACTGGGTCTTCGTGGACGAAAAGAACAAAGTTGCGTTTTCTGCAAATGGATAAAATCCTCAGAAGACATGTTACCTTAAGACTTACCTTCCTTTTTTATAAAAAAAAAAGTCATCAATTTAGTAATTGAAGATTAGTATGTCTCTTTTATCGTCTTTTTTTAGTTATTTCTTGCAGTTCATTATACAGAAATCTTCATTTAGCTGACTTCAATTTCAAATTTGGACATATTGCCATTTCTTTCTCACAATTCTAATAGGTTGATACAGCAATTATAATTTGCTTTAATTAATATCTTTAGAGAAAAAGATGACAATAATTAATATAATTTTTGTCTTTTTTTTAAATGTGTATGTTGAGCTCAGTGGTGCACAACCTATCCATGACAGTTTAACCACTATGGACCTGCAGCCATCACTACAAACCATTGGGGATAATAATCAGCAGCATGTCACACACAGTTACAGCCTGTGCACCACATGAGCTCACTGACTGAGTTATTGATTCAAACATGTTGGTCCATTCATATTACATCGGGAATCATTGTTTGCGTAATACAAGGACACATGTCTTGTTCTTTATATAGCTATATTTCCACTTTATCATTCCAGCTGCTGCGTTAAAATAAAAATAATAAAATTAGCTTCCAAATAACGGAATGTTATAAATGTATCTAAGTTAGAAAGGAGATTTGTTTCTGCTGCACGTGTCCTCATTCTATAGTTGTTGGGGGTGTTGTCGCAGTGCCAGAACTCGGCTGCTCCGAGGCTCTGTTTTCACTCCTGAAGAGAAAACAACGTTTCATGTAATTACAAAAGCGAGACCAAACGATGCCTTCGCGTAATGTCGGAAATATGAAAACTATAAGTAGACTAAAGGTGAACAACCCAACAGAGTTGTATAATTTGAGTGTGCCACAAAAGCATCACCATTTTCAAAATGCAGAGCGTCGAAAATACATGGCTCTCAGTTCAGTCGTCACTTTTGTTGTTTGAAACAGCGCTTGGTTCATAAACAAACAGCAATTTCAATCCCATCATCCCACATCCACACATGTAGTGTTTTTCTGCGACTATGAGGGTTTAGCAATCTGTGGAAGTGTAGACTATGGTTCCAATATTGTTTTCACTACTTTGAGGCCAATAAAAAACTACAGAATTAATGCAGTTGTGTGTGTTAACCCAGAGTCATCCAGTAAAAACAATGAATCTCCAAACTTGGTAAGTTTCAATTTTTCAGACAAACCTAAGGACTAAGTGTTACTTCATGGGTTAAGCTAATTGTTTTACTTTTTAAACTAAAGACCCGTTGGATTATGTAAAAAAAAAAAAAAAACATGGTCACAAAGATGGAAATAGGTCTGTTTTTCTAAGCTTATGTATGTAGATGTTTAAATAGAGAGGCATTATGTGGAGAAACAAAATGTACAGACAAAAAGAAAAACTGAACCATTATGATAAATAATTCATAAATAAAAAAACAGTTGAAAAATAAATGGATAAACAATAATAATTGAAAAGTACTTTTTGTGCCCGGTCTAGCTATGTTGTATTTGTGATTATATGTATTGAACGCACTGACATAACTGGGAGTTTGAGTTTACGAAGAGCATTAGAACGCAGCATCAGCTCTTTGCTAACACGTCCAGTTGTGGGAGTCAAAACGTGCGGCGCAGCTGCGTCCTGCTCCTCCTCCTCCTCCTCCTCCGTTGTTAAAAAGTAGATCTACACAAGGATGCGGCGCCACGCGGACGGCTCTCCAGCACGTGATCAGGCCCGTCCGCGGCGTTGTCAGATCTACACTGACCTAGACCGCGCGCAGCTTATTATGCTGCTCGTTACTTCCTGAATCAGGGTTAGCTTGCTGCTGTGTTTTTTTGTCGGTGGCATGTTAGATGAGAGCCGGAGACTGAACGCAGGCTACTGGAGGCGACTTTCATAAGTGGCACACACGAAAAGAAGACTTTCGGCGACAACATGGACGCGTGGGTAGGTGTCGCCTCACTTTTATCTGTTATTTCTTTCCCCCAAATTACAGACACACTGTGATACTGTGACGGTGGCAGCGCAGCTGGAAGAGGAGAATACTTGTTTATCTTTGTGAAGTGCGCTAACGTTACTTATGAGCCCACTTGTTTTGCTCACCGAGATGTCGCAAGTCCACGAAACTGTGTGTGAGTGTGAGAGTGACCCCTCATGTCGAAGCCTTTCGTTACAGATTTATGGCTGTTTTTATGAAGAACCCTTTCACCCACATTGCTTCTTTGGCTCCTGAAATGAGTTGACCCTCAGTATGTTACTCCTATATAAGACAATAAAGGGAAGTACAGTGCAGCCACATGACTGCACGATAATGCTTCTATTAATAAGCTGAAAGATTTAGATTTGATAAGGTGTCTGCTGGTAGGATTTACAGCTCCTTCCTATTGTTTATTGCCCTGCTTAAATCCTGTTCAAGTTAAACCTGCAGGAAGCTTAAACAAAGTAGCACTGCCACCAGAGAGCTGTTTAGATTTGGGAGTTTTTCTTTTCCTTAATTAAAGGAGCAGAATCAAGGTTTGTTGTCAGCAGCCTTGAGACAGAGAGGACTCAGCACCAGGGGGCATCTCGTCTGTCACATATCTGCTGTCAGTGCAACATGAACCATCTGATCAATACAAGGAACAGGAAGAAGAAGTAGTCACCCAAAAAAAAGCTATTTTTTTTGCTACATGTCACGTGAAACTGTTGCGAAAATACCACAGTGGTAATTACCCCCCGAGTGATTTCTGGATCTCTGTTTGACTAAAAAGCCGGTGTGATGTCCTGCTTCACGGTCTGGTTTCCCCTTTTGATGTATCCAGGAGCAGCCACCTCACACCCAGTACATTTCCATGAGAACATGACCTCCCCTCTGAGACAACAAAAGCTCTCCTTACAGAATAGTCAAATGTTGTTGCGAGTGAGGGGGGGGGCAGAGGAATGGGCGTCCACTGCTCAAACAATGAGTCGGACAACACTTGCATAAGTGTCTTTGTGTGAACTCCGAATAAAGTTTTCCTGAGATGTAAAAGATAGCGTTGAACGGTCTGGGGAAAAGTGTGGGTGGAACCTGATAGGCCCCGAAAAGTGTTGGATAACAGAGAGAGGCCTGTGTGCTGAGGGCCACACTTGCCTTTTTGCACAGATCTTAGATAACGCTGGTTTAATCTCGTCTTTACGACGGATGCGTGATAGCGATCTCGCCAGCCCTCGTATACCTTCCCAATCAAACCCGATCCCTATCATGACTGCTGGAGTCAAGCCTCCCAGTCACACACACATATGGTAATGGCTCCCCCCTGTCTGGTTCTATGCAGCTGATCTGGCCCAACCTGTATGAGAGCATGTCATCCAAACAGGCAGGTAGAACAGCTGGAGTGGCAGAGGTGCGGACTCCTATGGCTCACAGACGGGCCTCCATTAAAGCTTCACTCACTTAAAACCACTTGATATTCTCACCAGGAAAGTCTTTCTGCATGCATCAAACAATGAACTCGGTGTTTCGATAGCTCGAGGAGACGTGCCTCATTGTGCTGTTACGGCCTGTTTGTATCAGACGTGGATTACTCAACATGTTGTCTTTTGAACCTTTAAGCTTTCCTCCATCTGATTGTGGCTGAGTTGGAGAAACAAAGGTCCACGTTATCTAACGGCCTGCTATTGTGTCATTAAAAAAAAAAAACCCAAGCGGGGAGAGATAATGGAAAGATAATTTCGCTGCACTTATGAAATATCATTCATGGGTCATTTTGAGTGATTATGGCTGTGATTTAGGCTCAGTTTGATCTTCTCAGGTTGTGAAGAATTCACACTCGGATTGACAACAAATATTGCAGCGTTTATTGGTGATCAGGCTTGGAACTAATTGTACATAATATCCCCGATAGTTCTGTCTAGAGGCAGACTTCCTGTTGTGTCTGATTGTGGTTGATTGCCAAACATCCCCTCCGCTGGTTGGATGTGTTGTCTGTAGGTTTCGCTGCTGGGGAGGAGTCTGCTGGTGGGTCTCCAGGCTGCTGAGAGCGATCTCTCACTCTCACCTGGAGAACGAAGGGAACACTGACGGTATTAGTGTGAGGGGGGGGGGAAACTGAACTCTGTGGGTCTGACAATGTCTTCTCATGTAAGTACTTCCATTTGGGACTCGTGGAAAATGAGTTGCTTGCCTTTTTTAAATTGTTACAACGTCACTCTTTCTTAAAAGTGAGTTGTTAGAGTATTGTTCTGTTTCATGGCACGTATGTGTTTAAATTCAAGACAAATCTCTCTTTGGTTCTGAACTATTGTAGTTCACTGTTTATCAAGCTCAACTGTAGTATTTTCTTCAATTGGCAGCATGGTTTTCATAAGAAATCCCATAAGGATGACGATAACCGCCATCAACACTGATTATTCAACAGTCACGTCCTCGTATTGACATATTCAGAGGAAGAACAGCTGCCTATGTGATGCAAGGTAAGCATATTGTAAGATATGCATGTGTCTCTGTGTCCAGAGTGCCTTGGAGGTGTATAAGGATATGGTGCTGCTGTACCTGGAGGAGGGCCGGCGGCAGGTCAACTCACGCTGCGTGGACCTGGAGCCGTGGCAGATGATCGGAGTGACGGTCTTCACCACGCTGGGGGCGGTCTGGATCAAAGGCTTCCTCTTCCAGCGAGAAAGTAATCTGTCACACGTGGCGCATGGGTGCAAAGTGGGGGGGGGCAACTTTCCTGAGGCAAAGATGCAAATTGTAACAGTGTGATTTACATATTCTCTGAAATGTTAACATGTTTACTGACTTTTTTTAAAGAAGTTTCCCTGGCACTCTGCAGTTAGTATCTTCTGCTACAGTACTTGTTCCTCTAGTATGTTTGACTGCGTAAATGCCATCAATCAACAAGACTTTCTAGATCTGCTATCTATCTATCCATCCATCAATCAGTGGTTGAATTCCTCAGCAACAAGGCTGGCTCCTCCTTGTCAAAGTCGCTCAGAGTGAGGCGCTCTCAAAGGGAACTGCGTGTCTCCGGCGCTTTGTGTAATCCCATTGTCATCGACCACGTCTGGTCTTGACGCGTGATTAGAGGTCACAGTCAGCTGTTTAATGTCTGTGGTTGAATGTGTGTGCCAGTCTTTCACCACAGCTGCTGCCTTGTGTGTGTTTTTTGTTTTGCCCAATAGGTCTCCTGTCCAGAATCAAGAAGCTGTGCTTTCGACTCATCAGAAAAATCCCCTTTGTCGGCACAACAGTAAGTATCAGTGGTGAATGGGTTCCTTCTTTATCAAAAACATTCAGGGAGTGTTGACAGTGAAGTGACGTTCAGTCTGACACACAGTTACCTTCACCATCACATACTTTACTTCAGTTGTTTTTTTTTGTAGTCGACACCTATAAAGTAACGTCGTCCTCTCGTTATGACAGATCCAGAGCCAGCTCAACAAGGCTTTGGACGACATGTCTGCCAGCCTGTGCACGTTGAAGGAGGGGATGAGCTACACCAAACAGCTGCCCTCTAAAGGCCTCTCTCAGAGCCAAGTGCTGGACAAAATCAGAGAGTACCAGACTCTGAGTAAGTCACCACTCATTCCTGAGCTTCATCATCTGTGTGGCCGACTGCCTGAGGGAGTATGAGGAAGGCCTGTGGCCTTTTTGTCATATATTGAATAGAAAGAAATGTCTCGTGTGGTTGCAGATGAGGTGCAGTGGGAGACCGGCTGTGTTTCGGGGGCCGTGTACTGGGGTGATGAATCACTGACCAATCTGCTGGTGAAGGTATGCATCTTTGTGTCGTACATCTCCGGGCTTTGGAATTCCAAGCACGAAGAGCCACGGTTGAACTTGAATACATTTTCGCTACAGTAAGCAGGGCTGACTCATTAATTTGTCTTTTTTGTATTTAGTTTTTTGGACCAACAACTCCTGCCTTTTTTAAAAGAGACCACTGCCACCCTGCTTTGTGTGTCACAGTCAATATTTTAACTTCTTTTGACACTTTTTCTTTCCCCTCTTTTGATCCCAGGTATATGGAGACTTTGCATGGAGCAACCCGCTCCACCCAGACATCTTTCCCGGCGTGAGAAAGATGGAGGCAGAGGTTGTCAGGATGTCTTGCACACTCTTCCATGGCGGACCGAACTCCTGTGGCACAGTAAGTCGTCATAATTATGCTCACAGATTGTAAAAGCTTAAGGATGCATCTAAACAAACTCTCTGCCTCCTTGTCCAGGTTACCTCAGGAGGAACTGAGAGCATACTGATGGCCTGCAAGGCGTACAGAGACATGGCGTATGAACGCGGTGTGAAGTACCCTGAAATGTAAGACTAGCCTTATTAGATATGGTTGATGAGTGATTTCAGTTTTCTTGTTCTGAATCATTGTGCCTTCTTGGGTTCTTAGTATAACAGATATGGCAGTACTGCACTTAATGATGGTCATGACAAAAGTTGAAAACAAGACATTTTTAAGGCTTGTTGTTGTCGTCTTCAAAAGTTCTAACACTATCTTTGTGTTTTTTTTTTCTACTTTGTGCAGTCTCGCCCCTGTGAGCGTCCACGCAGCCTTCGACAAAGCGGCGCATTACTTCGGGATGAAGCTTGTTCACATTCCCCTTGACAAGCACACCATGGAAGTAGACGTGAAGGTGAGAATACACTAGACGCAGTGTGTGCGGATCGACTGCTCTCCTTAGACTCTAGTTATTCCCATATTGTTTCCTCTGTCTCAAGGCTATGAGCAGAGCCATCAACAAGAACACCGCCATGCTCGTGTGCTCGACGCCTCAGTTTCCTCATGGAATCATAGACCCAGTTGAGGAAGTAGCCAAGGTCAGGAGTGAAACATTTTTCCCCCTAAAACGCTTCTGAAAATGAAAAACGAGGAAGTGAAGCTCTCTGACACTTTCCCCACTGTTCCAGCTGGCTGTGCGCTACAACCTCCCGCTGCATGTGGATGCCTGTCTGGGAGGTTTCCTCATTGTCTTCATGGCCAAAGCCGGTTACCCACTCGCCCCGTACGACTTCAGGGTAAAAGGTGTTACCAGCATCTCTGCTGACACACACAAGGTAAGGAGTGGTTTTGTGTTCCCTTCAAACCAATTGCGTCTCGTTTTGTTGATTTCCAAACTTGAAGAATACAAAGAAAGTTATGATATCTACCAACACATCTGGAAATAGTCATTGTGTTTATGTGTAAAGACCAATGTTGACTATTGTGTTGCCACTATATGTCTCTCCAGTATGGCTACGCCCCCAAAGGATCCTCAGTGATCCTCTACAGCGATAAAAAGTACCGTCACTACCAGTACTTTGTGGCTCCGGACTGGCAGGGGGGAATCTATGCCTCGCCCTCTGTCGCAGGCTCCAGGCCTGGAGGAATCATCGCCGCCTGCTGGGCGACCATGATGCACATGGGGGAGGATGGATACATCGACGCCACCAAGAAGATCATCAGCACGGCGCGCAAAATCCAAAAAGAGTAAGACACTGGCGCGTATTGACGGCGAAGTAGAGATGTGTTACGAAGAACTTTGATTTCATACATAAAATGATCACACCCCCAACATTGACTTTTTTTTGACAGAGTCGGCAAGATAAACGGTGTGTTTGTTTTTGGGGAGCCAAAGGTGTCCGTGGTGGCAATGGGCTCAGATGTTTTTGATATTTTCCGTCTGTCTAATGCGCTGACGACAAAGGGCTGGAATCTGAACACACTGCAGTACCCATCCAGGTACGTATTGAATAAAATAAATAATAATATTAATATTATAATCAATAGTCCAGTGTAATGTTAAGTGTTCTCTTTCACAGCATCCACATTTGCTGCACTGTTCTGCACACGCAGTCGGGCATTGCTGATAAATTTGTCTGTGATGTCAAAGAGCAGGTGGCCATCATCATGAAGAACCCCAAAGAGAAAACCACAGGAATGGTGAGCTCGCTCTTTTCTCACACACACACACACACACACACACACACACACACACACTTACATGTTGCATTCATACACTGAATATACAGTACAACTTAAAACCTATAAAATGTACAATCATCATATAAATACAGGTACACACATTCAATTTTTAGTGTGCATTCAACCGTGGCCTCTGTCATCGAGCCAAGTGAGAGAAAGTACAGTTACCATTTGGCGTGAGTCATGACGAACCATGTGAAATATGTTCGTCAGTCTCTATTGTTTACCATGCCGTTGGTACACGTGGCATTTTGTTTTTCTGCTGCACGAGCTGTCGATTCACGTTGACACACGCTGCACGTGTGTGTCCCTTTTCAAATGGAGTGGAAACTCCGCCCAGCAGACACAAACCTGCTTTGTGCCAGTCAGGTTCGTTAGGAGCACACCCATGAATGAAGTGTCGCCTTCAGTTGAATAATGATCACGTGATACATGAAGCAAGGTCCTACTGAAAATGGAGATCCTGAGATTATAGGAGTACATATGCACTATACGTTCAGGTTTTACATTACTGAGGCTCAGAGTGTCTCCGTTTTGTCTAATGGGGGGGGGGGGGCTGCTGCAGTAGTGTCAAACAACACAAACACAGTTGCTTTCCATCCGCAGTATATACAGCTCAGACGAACTGTATTCTCTAGGTATTGTTAAAAGGTATGCTGGGAGATGTAGGCACACAGTGCGCTTGTTAACTCATTGGTGTCCTGTCGTTTCAGGGCGCGATCTACGGCATGGCCCAGTCCATCCCAGACAGATCCATGGTGACGGAGATCTCCCGAGGTTTCCTGGACTGTCTCTACAGCACTGAGGTTTCCAAGCCAGACGCCAGCCACATGAACGGCAACGGCAAAGCCCACTGAAGCAGAACAGGGCCCTTTCTGCCTCAACCCCCCCCCCCCCCTCCCCCCCCCTCCCCACGCAGGGAAACGCGCTCTCCTCCTCCCAGAGCCCCTGAGCTAATGGCTCAGGGGGTTGCCTTATCTTGCATACCTACACCATACTGAAAACATCTGCAAAGATCTCAGAAGCACAAGCCATCGTCATTTACAATCGCTTGTAACATTGTGCCTAAGTGGCACAGAGAAGAAATGACTGGTTCCAAACGAGTTTTAGTCTTTTCATTTGATTTCATTAATATTGTGTGTGTGTGTGTGTGTGTGTGTGTGTTATTCTATTTGTTTGAAAAATTAATTTCAATTTCAGTTTTTGTTAAATGCGTATGTCTGTCATAATCTCAACCAATTTAAGAAGCAGAACCATTCCTTTTTGAATTTTTTTTTTTTTTTTTTTTTTTTTTTTTTTACTGCCGGAACATTTCAGCTTGTTTCCAACACCGCTTCACCATCTGTCATGACTCAGCAAAAAACACAGACCACTGAATGCTCGTTAGAAACGCTGTGCTGCCCTCTAGCATGGAAGCGGATGTACTGCTTTAGACTGACTCTACGTGTGGAGGCCTGACGAAGGTGAAAGTTATCATCATCATCATGCCATAGTTCTCTGGAAGACAGCATTTTTTTTATGTAAAAGCACTGCAACACCCTGAAAAGAACATATCAGGTTAATCTGTGAATCACTTGAAACAACAGCTCTGATGTTGTAGTAGGGGTTTGCCTGGGAGCATCAACATGCATGTCCTCGTTTGATTAGCACTTATTGTTTTGTGTTAAGTCTGCATTCGTGGACCATCTGCAGTGGTGGGATGGGATGTGTAGACGGAGGGAGAGAGATTTGGATAGCGGGAGTTTTTAAATGTCATTAATATTCAATAAAATTGTCTTTTAAATTTGAAATAAGGGAGAATATTGAAAGCGGTTAGTAGAATCCAAAGTTGTTTTTTTTTTTTTTTTGTTTTTTTTTAGCTGCTTTGGTTCTATGTAATTGTTTTTTAGATTTGGTACTTCCACTCAGTAGCTGGCTTGTAAAGCAACAGACATTTAACATACTATAACAATCCGGACTGGAGGCTGTTTCCAACTCTGCTCTACTGTATTTGATCAAGAAGCAGAAACTCAATATTTCTTGCCAACATTCACCTGTGTACCACTTGTTTTAATCACTTGTCGCCTAATTCAATGTTTTAATCACTTGTCTCCTAATTCAATCTACCTCAGTTTTTAACCAATGCAATTATTCATCCACTGAGACATATTCCAACAGGACAACTGTGTTTCTCCCCCATTTAACAAACTGTTATAGAAGTGTTCTTAGGTATACTGAAAGGAAACAGATCCGTCCTGTGATGGAGGTGTTTTGACCACAGACTGACAGATTTGATAGTTGTATGTTGGTAGAAACCCACGCTGCCTGAATGTGGCTATATTTTGGTAGATATCCATTCAGCAGGATATTTAGATTTACTGACCGGTTGACCGCTCACCGGTGCATTCTGTAACACCAAAACGACCTTCTGTTGGTCTCTTTCTTTCCTAATATTGCTTGTTGAAATTGTGAATTTCAATTAGATTAATTCCATGTTTGTGCAATATATACCTTTTCCTTTAATGGAATGCTCTACTATAAATGTTAAGAAAACTAATTAGAAGCATAGTATTTAATGTCAGCTTATTGGCCTTGTTAGTGTAATTTAACCATTTGTGTGACCACTGGGTGTTTTTTGATCACTTAATTTGTGAGTGTTTTGTGTTTTCAGCTATTGTTTTTACATACTGAGCCGTTTTAAAGAGATTAGACATGAATGTATTACGGTTCTTCTTACATGTTTGTGGATTTTAGTCAGTACCTGGTTAAAAGACCGAGGACGCAACATCCCCATTAGCGATTGAAGCTTATACCATCATGTGTCCAGGTGTGGAAACCCTTACCCATGCAAAGAAAAGAAAGACTTTTTCAATCATGACTCATCCTGTGTGCTTTGGAGAAATATCTTGTGATGATTGAACAGCAAAGAAATCTCTTTTGAATAAAAACTTTTAATGCAAATTCCTCTTTAAGCAAAGTGACTATAAACTGTAACGGAGGAAATGTAAATGGGGACGTTGTGTAGCAATAATGAGCGTTCAGCTCTGTGCCTTCAGAGGTTTGAACTTGTGACGTCAAAGCAGGTTTTCTCTCCAACATCATCAGGGATTTGGCTTTATAACTGCAACATCATTAAGCTCCACATGCACATGATGCACTAAGTAACACACAAACACCTTGACATATAATGTAAAACAAATACATCAGTCTTTAAATGTTTCATTTAGTTTTTGATAATGTCAGACGCCTTGACAACCATTGTAATTAGTTTCTTGGAGTGCTGGATGGCATTTTATTGTAAGGTGTTTTTGTTTTACTTCTGTCCACCCCTGTACACCATGTGAGGTTCTGAATGTTTAAAGATTTGTCTTCATGTCAGAGTGCATGTTTGTGTGAGGAAGCACCTGCCAGGTTTAACATGATCCACATCAAACACTGTTTACCCACTCTGGCCAGTTAACACAGTCACAGTCTTAGCTGACTACAGCAGATGCTCTGTTATGTTTTCAATAAAATGCATAAAGTCTGATAAGATCATTTTCTGGGTGTTTTTTTTTTTTGTTATGTCAAGAACAGTTGGACAGAGAAAATAGCATTTACTGACAGTAAAGTACAAAAACGTTGGCACATAAGACACTAGTTGTGACAAAGGGACACATGTACCATTGTGATTGTTATCTGTAATAACTGGAATGCTTGCTGAGAAAAATTACTTGAAATCTTTATTGTGTAAACATTATTTTACCTTTGGTTCACAATCTAACAACAAAACTACCAACATATTTTTAAAACACACATTGGACCATTTCAGTAGCTACAGCTACATTTTCCACAATTCAGTGGAAGGAAGTATTCTTTGGATTTGCAGGATTTCTCAGAGGAACGAATACATGAGGAGCTGTTGGCTGATGCAGTGTTGCTCACATCAGTGATGCCTGGTCAATGAAGGTGGCCAAAGTGATGTCTCGCTGGGACAGCCCCCCACAGTCATGTGTGCTGAGAGTGATCTGGACCTGGGGGAAAGGGAGCAGGGAACTCATCATATGACAAGAAACGATTATTTTGTATCAAGTAACTGTTTGCTTTAGCCATTAGATGGACAGCCAACTTTATAAAAGCATCATCCATTCTTGCCTTCCCATTGACATACATCATCATTTCCCTTTATGCCTCTTGGCATGGAGGGCAGCAACAAAAGTCTTCCACTCCCATCTGTCCTGGGCGAGTCGCTGGATAGTGGCCCATGAGTGGTTTAGGCTCTGCATCTCCTTTTCCACAGTTCTTCTCCATGTGTTTCTTGGTCGGCCTCTTTTTCTTTTCCCTTCTGGTGTCCAATGTAAGGCTGTTCTTGTAATATCAGCAGGATCTTTTCTCAACACATGTCCTATCCATCCCCATCTTCTGCTCATTAGGATGGTCTCCATGCATTCTTGTTGGCATTTGTCATACAGTTCTTTATTTGAAATGGTGTTTGGCCAGAAAATGTGCAGTATTTGTCTTAAACTCTTGGTGTGGAAGGTTGATAGTCTGTTGAGGTCTTCTTGTGTCATTCTCCAGCATTCAGAACCGTACAATAGGGTGGATAAAACACAGCTGATACAATTTAAGTATGGTCTTGATGGTGTACTGCTGTGACCTCCATATGTTATTCAGTACTTTGAAAGCGTTCCTTGCCTTATTAAGACGATTCTTGATGTCTTTATCTGTGCCCCCATCATGTCTGACAGTGCTGCCCAAATATGTGAACTCGTCAGTTTTAGGGAGATCTTCTCCGTTAACCTGAATTGGTGAGGGATTGGGAATGTTCAGAGTCATCACTTCTGTTTTCTTTTTGCTGATCTTCAGGCCAATCTTCTGACCAAAATCACTGAGGCGGGATGTTTTCTCCTGCATGTGTTGATGAGTATGTGAAAGAAGAGAGAGATGATCTGCATAGTCTAGATCTTCAAGTGATGAAAATAGTGTCCATCGAATGCCTCTATTTTGGTCTTCAGTTGTTTGTCTCATTACCCAGTCAATAGTAATATTGAAGAGCAAAGCTGACATCACACATCCTTGTCTCACACCTGTTTTTACTTGGAATTTTTGGAGACTGTTTCCAACCCTACATGTGAAGTTGGTATAAAAACTTTGGATCACATGAACTATATCTTCAGGGATCCCATAATGCCGCAATATACGCCAAAGGCTTTCACGATGAATGGAGTCAAATGCTTTTTCAAAGTCAACAAAGTTTATATACAGTTCCCTCTGCCACTCTGTGCACTGCTCTATGATGTTACGTAACGTGAATATGTGATCGTTGCAACTTCTACCCTTTCTGAAACCTGCCTGTTCTTTTCGGAGATGTTGGTCTACAGCATCTGTTATTCAATTAATAATAATCTTTGCCATGATCTTACTTGGTATTGACAGAAGTGTAATTCCACGCCAGTTGTTACAATTTCTTAGAGAACCTGTCTTTGGTAATTTGATGATGATCCCCTCTGACCAGTCATCAGGTATTTTCTTATTCTCTCATATAGATGTAAAAAGTGGTTGAAGAATTGTTGCTGCCAGAATCGGGTCTGCTTTGAAGAGCTCTGTATTGAGGTCATCTGGGCCAGGGGTTTTCCTGTTTCTTAAGGATTTAATCGCGATTATAATTTCATCTTTGGTTGGTGGTTCAATGCTGATATCCAAATCTGCTTCTGCATCTTGGATGTTGGCCTGTGTTGTTGGTGGAGGCCTGTTCAGCACCTGGCTAAAATGCTCCGCCCATCTAGCTTCTTGGTCTGCTTCCGTTGTAAGAGGCTTTCCCTGTTTATCTTCTATTGGTATATCAGATGTCCCCCTGTATTTGCCGCTAATAATCTTGGTTAACTTGTAGACCTTTCCTTGCTCACCTTTTTGACATACAGCAAAAGCCAAAAAGAGATTCAACAAAGGCAATTTGGACACAGCTAGACATGTGCACTATTAATACACTTTGAATAAACTGGCATTATCAACACAATGCAATTAAATATACTTCCCAGTAAAAAAAAAAAGAAGTTGTTTCCAAACGTTCCACAAATGTTCGCGGGAAGTTGTGAGCACAGTCATGATGGTATGTTTAAGTGATTTGGGGGCCTTTTGTAAGTAGGGTATAATTCATATCTAAACACCATAATACATATACAGCTGTTTGGTTCCTCTTTAGTTTGGGGACCCCACTTGGGCGTGTGACGCAAACTACGTCATGTCAGGCGCGTTGCTCAGGACCCAAGCACGCGCAGTGTTGAGTTGACAAATCGTTTGTATGAGCGGCTCTTTTCATTAACCACACAGGCATGTTTTCAACGGGCACCGCACTAGTGAAACAAACACCAGTTAGCATTTGCTTGCTGTCGTGTTTCCGGCCACCTGATGAACGTAAGTCCAACATCCGCTCTCTTTGAGCTCTGCTTCAGTCTCCACCAACTCCATCTGTCAGCTGCGAAATGCTCCACCGTGTTCAGCAGCTAACGTCAGTAGCTAGCTAGCTAAACTGTGTCAGGGCAGCGTGCAGTGAGTTCATAAGCTAGGGCAGTAGACATGAACCAAAACAGTTCAGCTTTAGCTTAGAGACAGACACCTCACTGCTTTTGCAAGGACCACTCGCGTTGCACAAACCCCTTCCTGTCTCATTAGCTAAACACGACACACCTGTGTGATCTTTGTGACAGCAGGGAGATGTGTCCAATCAGCCAACTTCAGTTATTGGGACAGTGCTTTTAAATGGGAGCGTCTTTCACGATTTTGCCAATAAATGTTGATGACATTAGTTGCAAGACTGCTGAACATGAAGCTTCTATACATGATAGCCACAATATTGGGTGCTTCTTAATAAAGAAAGCCATTCAGCACCAGGTCCAGCTGTGCTCTCACGGAACCATCTTTGCATGTGTCCTTTTTCTTTTACCTTATTATAGACATTGAACCACTCAGGGTGATGGTCCATCTTCTCTGCCTGCAAAGCCACTCTGGACATGAAACCAAAAGCCTGAAGGGTAAAGAAATCATGCAGTCATGTATGAGCATCACACACTGTAGATGCTAGTTCTGTGGATTCTGTGAGTTAACTGTGATACATTAGATACCTGATTGAAGTCTTTGAAAATAAACTCTTTGTAAATGGCGTCCCGTCCCACGACCTCCACCCACTGAGCGTTGCGTAGCAGGGGGAGCAGGTGGTTCCTCTCCTCCTCAGCCAGACTCTGAATTTTACCAGCCTGGTAGGAAAGAGCAGAAGTAACAGTACAGCACATCTGAGGGGGGCAGTTTCACTAACACAGACTGTGATTGGTTGCACAGGATCCCATCTGGAAAGAATGAGAGGCTGCATTCCTGGTTTAAAAGACTAGCTGGTTGAAAGGTATGTTGTGGTAGTGGTGGGTGGGAGGGAGAGGGGGTTGGCCTCCCTTTTGGTCACTCGGTTCCTAATCTTGACACATGATGAGGGGTCACATGGATTTAAACGTATGCTCCTTTCATGCAGCCCTCGTGACCCTGACTCTAAACTGCACTTTTGACATTTCACAACATTCCTCAAATTGATTTTTGAGGGCTTTGTCCCCAGACAAGCGGTAAAGCCAGAGCAAACCAGAGCAAACAGATGTGACGACTAGAGAGCAATGACATCAACAGGCATCATAGCAACAGTCTAGTCTACTCAATCAGCAGAGAGAATGGGCAACACACACACACACACACACACACACACACACACACACACACACACACACACACACAATACCCACTGGCTTAAACCTCTTCTACTCATCGGATGCGGTGTTGCGGTTAATGCAAACAGAGACGCAGGAAAATGTGCTCATGTCGTTCTTAACGCTGCAGAATTATACGGGCACATTATAAACTTTGTATCGAAATGATCTGCATTCCTCAGTCTGCCATAAAACATTATCTCCAGGAGTTTTACACCGTGAGAGTGGCTAAATGGCAACAAGTGTGTGTGTGAGGCGGTAAGCAGCTCTGTGTGGCAGACTGAACACACACACCGTAGAGAGGTTGTGTACTCACCATGTTTGCAGAGTGTTTTCATGCACAGAGGAGGTTCAGCTCCAGCTCCCCGTTGCACAGATCTGCTGTGGCAGCCAGTGAGAGTGACTGGAATGAGTCCATTCAGCAACAGGTCCTGTTTAGCTGCCCCTGCAGAAGCCTGAGCAGAAATCCTCACTGTTGATAGGCCCGCTCCGCCACATGTCGGCACATGCTTAATCATGAACTGTCATCTGTTGCACAAGGCATGTGTGAGGCCAGCTATCGAAGCAGGATTCTGCACACACTTTGTGCACTGGCAGTGTCTGCTGTGTGACAAAAGAAAGAAGCTACCGTCAGTCATATACACTCTTTAATGATATGTTATGTTGTATATGCACACATATTAAAACATGAACTTCTATTTTAGAAATAACCTCGCACTGTTAATGATGTCTCTGTTCAACAAGGACAGCAGATTTTAAAGCCAGCGCTGCTCTTCAGCTGGCTGGAGTTCATGTCAAAGGTTAATGAGCTGCTCCTCGGAGACGGCCCCCCGTGAACTCATCTGTCACGGCGAGCGCTCAGGGAAATGAGCTGCTTAATGAAATGAGGAGAGAGACAGGATGTGACAAGTGATCAACATTTAACAGTTGGCTGGGCGGGGAAATGAGAATGGTGCTGCTATTTAGAACATAACCGTTAGATTAGAGTCAAATGGTTTCGTGGATTGTGTTTGGAAATGGAGCTAATCTCTCTGACTTCTACACTCACACACACACACACACACACACACACACACACACACTCATATAAGCTTTTTAAACTGCTGAAGTGTCTGTTTTCATCATTAATTCTTATTTTATTCATCATCGATGCAACTAAATTGCAGACTAATATTACCCCAAACAGGATTCCAAACATATGCATCACTAACCAGTTTAAAGGAACCACCAACCATGCGTGCATGCTGCCCTTTGACCGCTTTTTATATTGGTGTGAGTGTTATAAAGATGAACAGTGGAATTGTCTGTTTTCAAGCAGCAACATGGAGCCCGGGAGGACGCTCCAAGCACGTCTAACTCTGTTAATCCTTGTAAGCAGCAGCTACGGAGGACACTTGAAATCAGGTGAGTCTTCTATAGGGTTCATTAGTGGTACATGTGGATCCTTCTGCTACAGAGTTAGGTCTCCGTAATCAAGGTTAACGTTCAGTTATGACAAATGGACCTGTCGGTAGTATGAGAACTTACTCAGTCAATAGTATTTAGTCAGTGTTATCTTGGTGGTGATGGTCATCTGATACACCCTTCTGCTATCTTATGTTTATGATGCACAAAAAGCACATCATAAATGAGTGCTGCTTTTCAATCTATGCAGGGCCCACTCTGAAAATGGACCAGGCTCTGTTAACATTACATAACCAGCTGAGTGAAGAAGTGCAGGTCTTCTACACATCAGATTACTGCTACAAGGTAAAGGACGTGTACTGTCTGTTTGTCTCTTCCCTCCATCGGTCTGGTTGTGCAAGATGTCAGCAAAGTTACTAAAGTTCTCCATTTATATGTTTTCGAGGTTCATAGTGATGGTGCTTCTCTACCAGATCAAGAAGTACTCCAGTGATTTAGACCCTTCTGAAGTTGGTGGACTCACAAGACAGATTGGAAAACTTAAATTAAGTTCAAAGTGTCTTTTGATATCCCGACTTTTAGTCCCTTGTATGAGTCGAGCTTTAAAGACACTGGATCCTACATTTCCCATAATGCAACACAATGGCATTTTTGACTAGACTTGTCTGTCAAACCCCACATCCTCAGTGTGTAATGCATCTTTCCGTTAAAAATCTGCAAGTCATCATAATGTTAGATGGAGGAGCTTTGAGAATGTCGGTTTGTACAAGAGCCATTACGATTCTGCGTCAGCTCATATTCTTGCGAGTATAGTGTATCCGAGGCTTTGGGAGCATTCCACATTGCATTTCACTACATGTGTATATAACAAATAAACCACAGCATCCTTGAATCCCTATACCTTTAATCATCGTGAACCCTTCAGATTTGTCTTGAGACCCCTTTGAGTGTGCCGTACATTAAGCCAGTGTTTCACCTGTTTCTACTCCCCAGTGTGTGTACCAGCAGTTAGTTACTGTGAAACCCAACAACAATTATTCATCTGCGGTGGTCAGCACTAAATTCACTCTGACTCTGCAAGTGGAATCACAGAGCAGGAATGCAACTCTTTGCAGGTAACAAGTTTTAACATTGTAACAAAGCATCAATAACATCAAACCAACCTACGTTCCTCAGAGGTAGAAATGCTGATTTGTTTCCTGTTGACCCATCTTAACTAGCCGTGGGAGTGTATTGCTCTTGTTTCCAGCCGTGATATAGTGTGGTGGCATCTGATGATTGCATCAGCAGTCTGTGGGATTATTTACAGGGCTGAGGGAGTAATCCTGACCTGCTTTCTGGACCTGAGTGATGCCCTCCCTTAAACTACCTCCCCGGGTATCGATCAGGAGCCTTTTTGGGGTTAATAAGACCTGACATTCCAATATTGATGAAAAGGGCTCATTAAAGCTTCAGAGCTGCTCGTCCTGTGGAAGCCTCAGCGGGGATGTTAACTGGAGGAGACGGGCGGCATATTTATAAACAATCAGGACTGACAAGACACCAGGGCAGAGTTTTCCATTCGGGGGTCACCTGTAAACATGGTGCCAGAGATTCGGTGGCAACATGACGAGCCTCTGGTGCTTTTTCTTACCCTCTCAGAGGTCTGGTCTTGAGCTCCCTAGATCAATGCTGAGGTCTCTAACAGGACTGTGCTGCTATTGATTCCCTTTTCCTCTTTGAAAAAAAAACACTCCAAGTGATAGCTAGTATGTCATCCCAACAGTGGATCAATATGAGCGGTTAATGTATGTTTTTGGGGCCTGACACTGGAGATGACGAGAGGACAGAGGGATGCACTTTAAGTCTGCAGACACTAGGTGGTGCTCCTGAGCTTCATAGTGTTAAAAAGAAGGCGATAGGAAGACCATTTTTTATAGTCGGGTCAAAAGGGAAACAGCAGCAAGTGAATGGAAAAGCTAATTTAATATCTGCTGCTGAGGAAATATAATTTCAAAGGGGATCAAATAAAAACAGCCTGTAGTTTTATGTGCTTTTAAGGGAATTGTGTCTCAATATTTCACCGTTTTGGATGCAGGTGGAGTCAGACATATGGAGAAGGTGGTCATTACTCCGTTCGGATCCAGATGTCCGAGGCTGCCAGTAAACCCAGCTGCATCGACGCTGTGGATAAGAAACCAAACAATGCGCACCTGCGTAAGTGCACAACACTGATGAAGAATACAGGATGATGACGTTCCGTAATCAGCCGCATAGTTTTGAATAACTTACTGGGAGCCAAGGTGATTGCTTTGCTGAGACACAGTGACAGTAAAGGAACCTTGGTCCACGCTCGGGCCAAGCCTTTGATCCGCTCTCTACTTAATTGAGTCAGCAAAGAGGGGCATCACTCGGCCTGTCCACATCTACCGAGCAGTAATACTCCTCCATCTCCCGGGACATGATGCGTATTGATCAGATAAGACGTGCTTTCTTGAAAAGGGATAAAAGAAAAGCTTTTCTGTTTGTTTCGAAGGCCTGGCTCCGCGCGTGGAGCATTGTGGGTAATACATTAGGGAGTGTGGAAGGATTAGGGCGTAATGGGCTTTTGAAAGCGTCTCTCTCCATAATGTACACTGTACTTAACAATATTGCAGATTATGTTGTAGATCAGACTTTTAAGGCCAAGTAGCCATTATTCAAGCAGATGTATGGTCAGCGTGACGGCACCCCTCATCGTATGATGAGCTTCCATTAGCTCCGCAGACCAGTGATTACACAAACTCCCCATAGGACCTGCTCAGCTTAAGTAATGGTCTGGTCAGCAGCTCAAGGCAGGTTAGAGTTGCCCTGCTGGGGAATTTCAAAGTTTACTTCAGCGTCTCAGATTGATCGTCCTTGGCTCTCTGTGAGCTCATTCGACGGGTGCGGTATATTCTTCAAGGATATGTTTCTGTGCAGCTACTATCAGATCCACCCTTTAATCACGTTAGCACTGTATTCTGCATTGTTTCACAAACCACAAGTCACCTGCCGAGGATGAGGGTGAACCTAATCGAGTTGTTCTCAAATGAGGCCATTCATTTTCTATTCATCCCGAGAATAACTAATAGAGCGAGCGCGGCAGACGTCTGCTGCTGTTCCACTTCATGCAGCAGAGATGCCACGACTTTTTCCGAGGCGATACAGTGCAGATGGCGGGTGAGCAATAATGTAGTAAACTTGCATTTAAAAAAGTTTAAATGGTTTTTAGCATAATTTACATTTGTATCCACAACAATTAGCGAAACAGATACAGGAACAGAAACTCTTTTGTCCTTTTTGTTCCTTAAACAATGAATACATTTTATCCTAATCTTTGTTCTGTGATCTGGGTAGATTTATTCATTCTTTGAGCAAATAAAAGACATTTCAGCTGCTATGTTTGTTCCCTCTCGTACGATATACCTCATCTTGACCTCGCTCCTTTCTATGACGCCCTCTGGCAGACCAGCTCTCTCCCTCAGTCTTTGTTTTCTTGTCCTTGTTCCAGTGTAGCCTTACATTTTCCTTTTCGTACGCCTGCAGGGTTAGATTACCCAGATGGATCGACCAAGAGTTTTCCACTAGGTCCTTGTTTGTCACTTGAGGGATCCCCTCTGACACTGGTTGACTGACAGAGAGCCACAAGGGAGTCCAGAGGCGAGTAGAGCTGACAGTTTGGAGTGCTAATCAGGCCTTTTATCCCCAGTCAGATCCCCTTCTGATAGAGATGTACAGCATGAAGCTCTTGACATGGACTTCCAGACAGACGGATTATGGCGTCGGATGGTACAGTCTGATGACACAAAAGTCCATTTTTCAACACTTCCTTTTCTTATTTTCCAGCTCTTCTGGTGGCAGCTCTCTTACTGGCCATAATCGCTCTCTTGTTCGTTGTGGCACCCTACATCTACAGGTACCCGTATGTTTTTTACATCATCCATAATGAAAATACCATCCTGCACTTCCTCCTCCCTCAGAACAAGGCAGCTCAGACTTCTTGTCCCGTTTACAGGAGGCGTTGTACATCCAAACTTATTAAGACCATGTGCTGCCAGGGCCCACAGTACCCCATGGATAATGTAAGTAAAATCTGCCTCTCATGAATGCATTAGATTAATATCTTAATAAATGCATTGCGATGACACAGAAGAGTGGTCTGATTGATTAGATCAATCATAATGCAATCAAATGAAATGAGTGGCAGTCTCATCAGTGCACACTGTAAAATGTTTGAGATGCTAAACATCTCTGTGTGAACCGTAAAATACACAATTGTATTCATGGATAATGTGCGTATGATAATGATTTTTTTAATACCCTTGCTTGGGCCCTAAACTCCTGGAATTTCCCAGAATTTGAAGCGTTCAGAAGAGCGCTTTACAACACAACTCCACCACCTTTATTTCTTCACTACGGAAAAGTATTGCCTTATAATCAAACATTAAAGTTGCCTTAGTCCAACAGTAACATTGCATTATTTTTATTGGCAACTATACGCAGCCTGAGCTGCATACCAAAATTGCTCTGAGACTCCAGTCATCAAGACGTTTAGGAGACACTAATGGAATGATTGATACAAATGTTAGCAGAGCCAATTGTACAGCAGACTTACATGGAAGCGATGCAGCGTCGTGTCCGTCCAATCATCTTGCTTGATGGCAAGAGCTGCTGTGTAATTTCTGTGAGCATGAATGGCTCCTCTCATTCTTCCATGCGAGATGTCTCTGTCTTCCATATGCTGTCTGGATGGCGTGCAGATCCATCATGGCATATTAGCGCTGGTGTCTTCCTGCTCTGGCTCTTTAAACTGCCGCGCAGAGGCCAGCGAGTCGGGCTAATCCAACTGAGAGGGCAACAGGCCAGAGTCATCTCAGTGCTGCCTTCACAGGGAGAGGGAAAAAGAGGCGCCGACACACACAGCACAGAGGATGACCTGTGTAGAAAGACAGCCAACATCATTTAGAGGAGTTCTGACCCATGTGACAATTTGGATTTTGGGGTTTTGTCAGCATTTCTACATCTCGGAACAATTCTAGTTGCGTACAAGTTTCAACTACTTTTATTTTGTGCTACAAGTATGTGATAGTGTTTATGTATTTCTAATTGTGTACTCTTTTTTTTTTTTGATTTAAAAGTACAGATGGTACCAAAAAACAACAACACTGCGAACATAAACACTGCACTACAGAGCGTATCAGGGCCTTTCAGCCATTGTTTTGGATTCACTATTTTGGTTCAGTATTTCTGTTCTCGTCCATCTTAATTCCAGCAAAAGCAGGCAGCGGTTTTGAGCAGAGAGCTCTAATAAATCCACTGCAGGCTACCTACTCTGCACCAAAAGACTGTCGGACAAAGTTAGCAGCTAGTGAGCATACAGCACTATTTATCACCATCTTTCTCAGGAGTCAACAACTAAAAGAGCTAAAAGTAGAGTAAATACTGGACTTATTCAAACGTGACTCCAAATGAGTGCTCATGTTGCTCCTTGTCTGCCAGATGTGTGGATGTCTCACCTTTTCCCTGATCATCTGTATGAGCGAGAGACTTTCAATGTTTACACTTTGTTCCGTTGCCCAGAACTAGACCAAAAACAATCAGTCAATACTGCTTTAATACGTTAAACCGAATAGTCTTGAAAAATCGACAAAGACAAATAGCAGTCACAAGTTGAAACGACACACTACACTCAGTATTCCCATGCAGTAAGTTAACACATGTTATACGTTTCACAACACCTCGTATGAGCCAGACTGGTGTTTAGTTACTCTAAAGCCACATTATTTTGTCTACTCTCTAATGGTTTCTACAGGACCGAGCACAGGCTTGTGAAGCTGAGCACGATACCACTAAAGCTAAACCAGCACGTCTGCTCTCACTGGACACTTTCCGAGGGTATGTACGCCATCAACAACCATCCTGTTTATCAGTCTATCACCACATGTGGCTCGTTCACATGCTTATTCTTTTTAGAGCAGTCTGGGGCATGATGAAGATCTACAGGCCCAATGTAATGAATAATTACAGGGGTCACAGTCTGGTCACATGCTCCCCTAAGCTCTTGTTATCAGGCGGTATAGCTTTGGGCAGGATTTCTGATATCAGTGCGTCTCGGGTTTGGAACAGTGTGTTTCTGTTGGACAGGAGTGATGCATGTGATTGAATCTGGGCTCCCTGCTAGCCTTAATTGTGGCCTGGGGGTAGACACAAAGCACGCCTCTCTGGAAACAGGATGCTGGTGTGGCTTTGACCTCCCCCTCGCCAAATAATTGATGTAATAATACCGTCAACATATCAGCACACATCCACACGGCCATAGATCTCCTGCCAAAATGGGGAGCGAGAGGAAATCCAGCAGCATCCAGCAGACAATTGGCATCTTCTCCATCTGTGGCTTCCTTTTTGGATGGAAAGCCATCTGAAACTAACCGTGCATATGTGCTGAATTCAAAGTACCACATAGTTTGGGAGCTGAATTAGTTGAGTACACTTAGACCAGACTTTGCAAAGGTTCAAGGAAAGGCTAAATTTCATGTCGGTTGAGTTACACTGCCTGCCGCAGTTCTTATTAGCTGACATGTCCCTCTGGTGTCACATATTGATGTCCTGATACTACTGGAACCTGTCATACCTGGCAACACACTTAATCAAACTGTGACTCAGCAACTCAAGATTAACGCTGCGTGTGCCTCCGACGGCCTTATGACTTACGAGCCATACTCCCCCCCCCCCCCCCAATAAGTAACAACTTTCTGCAGAGAACAGACGCATCGTCGACATAAACGCTGAGACATTTCTGAAAGCGAAAGGCTTTTTCTTCTGAGCTGAAAGGTTTTCCTGATCATTGCTCAGGCTGCTTCTGACATGATATACAGAGAGCAGCGGGGTACGGTTGCGCGTTAATTTTTCTAAAAGGATTTGGTTTTTAATCTTGTGCCGCGCTGCTAAAAGCCTGTCGCCGGTTTCCATGCCGTGGAAAATCGCACCGTCAGTAGTTTGCAGTGCCACACGACAGAGGGAACAACTATTACAGCAAAACAATGGATTGTCAGCTGCATTTAGCACCAGCTGGCTGACTCATTCTCTTCATTATTTTGACTGAGCTCCAAGTTTTCCTCTGATTCAGTTTCAGATATGCTGTGATGTTTGGCCACAAAAAAAAAAGAAAAAAAAAAGAACCTTGGCATTTCCACTCAAGTAGTAATTTATTATGACTAGATTGGATGTCCGTGTATTTGATATGGCCGGCACAGGAGGTAACTCAATACAGTGATAGAGTGCAACTATCCATTTGCAACGGGGGAAATGTACTAAGCTAACACTAATTGGTAATGCATGTACAGTGATTCAAATCAAAGAAGTCCATAAGCGTCTATCAGCGAGTCATAACCAGTTGTCACTGCTGCAAGCAAGACACATCCATCTGCAATCTGTTAAACTATAAATCACGAATGCCGAATCCCAGACATAAATTAAGTCTATTACTGAAGTGACAAAGCTCATTGGAGAGCTTCGCGGGGATATATACAACTTCAACCTGATTAGGAACCAAGAAACTAGCCTGTGGTGTTTCAACCCAGGACATTATTAACTTAGGTGCGACAGAAAGCAAAGTGACGTCAGTGCACATCATATTAATAAGCACTTGTAGTTTCCCTTAATCCTAATTAGCCACCACTAGTGTCACACGCGTGTGTGGTATTTGTAATGTAAAATTGAGCTCCGCGAGTGCTTTGATTAAAAAGATGGCCAGTAAGCTCTGATGTTGGAGGGATTTTCACCGGGTCTCATCTGGCCAGTAAATTTACTTCTTGTCTTTGTCACTATGGCAACTAATGGATGTGTTTCGTCAAAATTTAAATGATGGCCCGCATTCATATATGTGTGCGCGCATTAGAGAGAACGAGCACACGGACACGTGCCGCAAGGTTTACTCTACTTTAATAGCCCCTTTGAGATGATAGCGGCCGATTTAAAATCTTGTATCAGCAGGTTGGGGCTAAAAGAGCAGTAATGGCTTTGGTGCACCCCTTAATTGAATCTAGGCAGAGAAACAAGAGGAGGCAGAGGAAGATACAGTGCATCTTATCAGGGAGTCTTGTTCTTAGAGGTTGTCCTGATCTTGTTATGCCTCTTAAAGACCCCCTCGATGATATTTCTTTTTTCTTTTTGATTCAATAAAACATGAATTAAAAGCATAAATCCAAGTATTTAGGAGGGCTTTAGATGTGCCTCAGAGCAAACCTCTCGACCATGCAACCGTTTACATTCCCCCACAAGTTTTGTGTTGTGTAATATGCCCCCCCCCCCCCCCCCCCCCATCCATACTCCAGCACTCCATCACGTGTGCTGTGTTCTCAGCAGCCTTGGCCAGTGCTAAAGTATAAAGTGTATCATATATTAGACGCAAAGTCTTTAGTCAGCACTCCTGCTTGGGGAGATCCAGAGGACAAGTGTTCATTTCCTGAGTGATTCATAATGCTTAGATTGCATTACCTTGCATTTGTGAGTGTGACAGAATAAAAAGCCCCTCCTCTGGCCTCTTTGATTCCAAACTTAATATTGTATCAGATGTATTAGTTAGACGGTAAGAAAGCAGTTAGATATGAACATGTTAAGCTTTATTTATAATTGTTTTAAAACAGTTTTCACACATGTTTCCGTCATTCAGGCTACATCGTGACGGTTAATCCAATTGTTGGTGATTTGCTCAACAGTGTGATATAGTGCCAACTCATTGTAGTGTCTTTGTAGGTTTGCCCTGACGGCGATGGTGTTTGTGAACTATGGAGGAGGAGGCTACTGGTTCTTTCAACATGCACCATGGAATGGTTGAGTAAAGTATAAGACGTACGCTATTCAAGTAGATTTAATAGCTGGAAGGACAACAGCTGACAGCGGTCATCCTGTTTCAAGGAAAGAGCCGATACATGTGAAATGAATGTGTGAACCCAAAGCTATTAGCCAATGGCAGCGCTCTGCTCATCATCTCTGCAACATTTCCTGACCCGTTGTGACTAATTATGATCAATGAAGTCTCAAACCAAACACACGTGGGTGCCATTCCTCAAATGAGCCGAATCAAAGGCGCAAATCCATAGATTTAGATTGTTATTAACAACCAGGGAGGAGACGAGAAAGAGGCGGGACCAATGTTTAAATGGCAGCTGGGAGAATATGGGAGGAGCAGTGCGTGTGGAGTACTCGCGTCCTGCAGCAGCCGCTCTTCAGAAAGAGACGGTGGTGAAAGGTTAAAGCGACGTAAACAATGTAAAAAAAAGTGTTTTAAAAAAGCTAAAATGTCACTGCAACTTTTATGAAATCCATGTCCTGTGTTTAGGGGTGTTCTCAATTAAAATCTTATAATAGCCTCTTTGCCACACCTACAAGGGTGTATTGATTTCAGGGGTGGTTTGATTAATCTTCTCTTTGCTGCTGTCACAGGAGTGTAAACATTTATTCACCTTTTTGAAAATGGAAAGTTAATGACTGAAGCGGCACTTTAAGGACATAACATCGTTCTTAATTTACCTTGTATTCATTTTGGATTGCAGAGATTAGAAAAGGGCAAACAGTGTGAACTGTGTCTAACGGCATCCAATTCCGGTTTGTGTGTGTCTATTGATACTAATGCATGCTTCTGGATTTATTGCAGGTCTAACTGTGGCAGATCTTGTCATGCCGTGGTAGGTTTGCCAAAGAGGACTGTCATATATTTCCAGTTCTATTTTAATATATACAAACATACATGTTTTAATAGCACAACACTGTTGTTCCTTCCAGGTTTGTGTTTGTTATTGGGACTTCAGTGGTGTTGGCTTTCAGATCCATGCAGAGGAGAGGAGTTAGCCGCCTGCAGCTGCTGCGCAAGATCTCCTGGAGAACAGTCGTCCTCCTGATGCTTGGCTTCTGCTTCCTCAACTACTCTCCACGAGACGGACCACGTAGGTGCAAAACATGTGGCGCAGGATGGAACAAACGCATTATGTTTTGTTCTGTACTGGAGACGATGATTAAAACACAGACTCTGGTATGTCTAATAATATGTCCACTTGTTACATGTACGGCACATTAGCAACATCGGAGGACAGAAAAGAGGCCTCTCTTGCGTTAATGCACCTGTTAGTCTGAAAAATGAAGCTGGGTAAAAAAAAAACTGCATAGGCATTATATTATGTGACATCTAAAGATTCATTCCATATTATCTCATACAAACCTGCAACAATTGGTGGTTAAATCAAGTAGACAGATTTAATCAGCAACTATATGCAGAACATTTGATCATTGGTGAATTTACACTTTGTCTTGACTTAGCTTTATAGCAAACTGAATATGTTTTTGAATGTTGGTGGCACAAAACCAGACATGTATCAATAGTAGCTTGGGTTCCAGGAATTTTCATGGCCATTTTTCTCTGTTATCTTATGTTTTACAGACCAAAAGAATCAGCAGACTGATTTGATTCGGAAAATAATCTCTATCTGCAGCCCTAATATAGTAGAAGATACGTGTAATATAGTTTATATTTGTCATGTTCATAATATGCACAAACGAAATGCCTTTGGTCATGTGACAAAGACAAAGATGTGTTTTGATCCAGATGTGTGATAAAAGCCAAAGCTGCAGGGCTGTGTCGGGGTTAGAGGAGGGGGAAAATCCCCATTTCATCGTCCACCTGGGGATGCACAGGGCGCCCTGCACACATTAGCCATCCCCAGTGCTAATGGACTTTCCTGGGTGAATGTCTGCGTAACTGGGTTAACAAAAATATTATTATTGTGAGTGTGCAGTCTCACAACCCAGCACCAGGGGACGTTTAACGGGGCAGATTGAGCAAAAACAACCACTGCGGTAATGGACAATTACAAACAGATAGTGTTACACTCTTCAGCCCCATGCAGCTGCTGTAGAGGCTGCTGCTGATCATAACAGCAGAGTGACTTTTACCATAAACTGCAGCTTTGCCCTCCGTCTCCAAGGACGTCCTCGGCAGTTCAGTCCCAGGGTCTGATCTAATAAGAGAGTGGAGTCATACCGGCTCAATACGTTAAACCGGTTCAATGTCAGACGGGACAGAAGAAGGTGTTAACCTTTGACAGAAAGCATGAATCATTTCAAATAAACGCCGCTACGGTTAGATCATCATCAAAGCAGTCACCTTGAAACTCCAGTTTTTGTTATTTCATTTTTATTTTGTCACTCAAATGACAGACTTGCACACTACGTTGTTGGTTTAGACGTTTAGAAAGCACTTCATTTAATGGATGAATTTCACATTCAATTAGATAAACGAGTTGTGGCGAAGCTGAACACATGGCTGTTTCTCTTGATTGTGTGAATCAAAAACATTATTTTGCTCAAGGCGACAGTGTGTTTTTTAAATATTCAATCTTTGACCATTTTACATCTTTTTTGGATGATGACAAGTTACAAGAAATGATCAGTCGGATGAAGATGAGGTCAGAACGTCAGATTCAAACACCTACTGACGCCCAGCCTTCAGAGGATGTTCAAATAACAAAAACACTTTTTTTAAAAAACGTTTTTGGCTCAGCTATTTGCTCTACTTATGACTTTATTCCGTTCTGCTCACTTCCGTCATACAATCATTGTTTTATTCACTGAAAGTGCGCAGAGATGGGAAGTAGACAGCAGAGCTTTCACTTCTTAAATGATATTGAACGTCAGAAAGGGTCTCAATTCCACACCCAAAAAAAACCTCTACATAAATTCATCAAAAAGTGAAACAAAAGATTTTACAGTTTCCTGCTGAACGGTGACTTTCAGGATTGTTTTTTTCATTTAAGTGACAAATGTGTGTGGGGAGACAGATACAGTTAGTTATCTGGGTGGAGGTGTAACCAGCAGATGTAACAAATGTGTCATAAGTAAGAGCTTCCTCCTTTCCCATGAAAGGAGAGATTTCCTCCTCTTATTTGATTTGTCCGGATCAATGATTGGGATTACACGGGTTTTCACGGCACTTTGTGCGGCAAAGAGGTTTTCAATTAACTAATGTCTAGATTACCATCAATCTCTCAACCACAAGCCCATTTTACCCCCCCCCCCCCCTCCCCAATTTGTCGAGACAAAGAGATAACTGGGAATCTTTGATTAGCTTCCCAGGTTCTTGACGTGTCCGTATCCTGAAGGCTGACACCATTTCCCAGTGTGGCTAGCTGTCCATCATCCTCCTTCAGGAAGTAGTAGCACTGTGGTGGAACGATAGAGACGAGGTTCTCATGTCCTCTATCAATCTCCTGATTTATAATCTGCTCAGATCAGCAGGAAAAGCTCCACACCACTGAGTTATATCTGTGCTTGTACATGAGTTGTAAGGTCATGTGTTCATCATTGGGTGTCAAGGCACTTGTAGGTGTTCATGCTGTGTGTTGTTTCAGTGTCCTGGTCCTGGCTGAGGGTCCCTGGAGTGCTGCAGCGTCTGGGCTTCACCTACTTTGTTCTGTCTCTCCTGCAGACCTTCTGGGGCCAGAAAGAAATCCCACTGAGAGCGGTGAGCAGCTCTGTCAAGTCCACTTTAGTCTGTCATTACACACCAGGGGGACAAAGGAGTCCAGCCTGAGACAAACACATTTATAAAAAGCTAATTTGCTGCCAAGGTGCACCTTGGATTCCTTAGTCTGTTATTGTTGCTGGGATAGCTGGCCAAACATGCATCCAAATACAGTTGTTAAATGGTGTCAAAGAAGATGAGCAGAAGATTATTTGTGTGCTGTGATGCAGAACCCCTGGTGGAGCCCCGTCCAGGACGTGGTCCTCTACTGGCCACAGTGGCTGATTATCATCCTGCTTGAGGCTCTGTGGCTCTGCATCACTTTGCTCATGCCCGTACCCAACTGCCCCACGTAAGTCCAAACAAGGTTCCCTCTGTTGTGTAACTGACCAAGTGCAATCCTCTCATTAATCAACCGCACACATATGCTAAATGTGTAAATCTCTCCATGCTGAGATGATCTCCAGTTGGGGCTGCAAGCAGCGGTGTTAATGTGCACCTTGTGTTGCCGGTGTTATGAACCGCCGTGATTTATAGGCCTGTGGTGGATGCTTCAGAGGGCATAATTAGCCAATCTCAGTCTGTCATGTGCAATAAGAGGAGCGGAGGCAGAGGATCCATCTTCCTCGCTCGGCGTCTTCTGCTCAGTGCTGCTTCTTTTTCTCCCCATTTCTGTGGCCCTGCATGGCATCAGTGTTAAAATACAGTGTTAAAATAGCTTGAGTTCAAACAGTAGCACTGTCTCTTCCAACGTCTTAATTTGTTTTGTTTTGCTTTATTTATTTATTTTTTTGTGGAATGTGAGGATAATAATGATGCATTTTATTTATAGGTGCCCTCAGGGACACCTTACAGGCACAGTTAAAAAGCAGCAGTGTATCATAAAATCAAACAAACCAGAGATATACAATAATAAGTGTATGTATTAATTAATGAATTAAAGTGAATATCTTGTGAGAGAGAGTTTGTGCAGAGCAGCTGAAGGCTCATGGTAGTCAGCGATATGTGGTGAACACAAACCTCGTACAAAGCTTCAAGCAGTCGGATAGAAAAACCTGCCTGAGGAACTCTGTGTCTCGTGTTCCTTGCATTTAGTTTCATTATTTAGTCACTTATTATTTTGTTACTTTTTCGATGTTAAAAAAATGTCTTTTAATACTGATTGTTCTATAATGCTGCACGGTGGTGTAGTGGCTAGCACTATCACCTCACAGCAAGAGGGGCCCGGGTTCGATCCCCGATCTCGGGTGGTCCTTCTGTGTGGAGTTTGCATGTTCTCCCCGTTGCAGCGTGGGTTCCCTCCGGGTTCTCCGGCTTCCTCCCACAGTCCAAAGACATGCAGCTTAGGTTATTTGGAGACTCGAAATTGCCTGTAGGTATGAATGTGAGCGTGAATGTTTGTCTGTCTCTACATGTGCCCTGCGATGAACTGGCGACCTGTCCAGGGTGTACCCTGCCTTCGCCCAATGCCAGAGCCCCGCGACCCTGAACAGGATAAGAGGTTTGGATAATGAATGAATGAATGAATGTTCTATAATGTTTGCTATCAGAGGGTATTTGGGAGCTGGTGGAATCGGTGATAACGGTCTTTACCCAAACTGCACTGGAGGCGCAGCAGGATACATTGATAGCTGGATGTTCGGTGACAACATGTACAGATATCCTACATGCAAAGTAAGATCTTTTTCACACACACTATTCATTATTTTATCCATCTATCTCAAAACCTTACAGGTGGAATTAAAACCACCTTGCTGGTCCTTTTCATCTTGCTTTTTCCAGGAAATGTATCGCAGCACGCAGCCCTTTGACCCAGAGGGGGTTCTGGGTACAATCAACTCCATTGTCATGGGATTCCTGGGGATGCAGGTACGATGGATCGTTTATTTCTCCTGATCTGAGTTCTTTTTAAGGTGTCAGCAATTTAGTTTTTATTTAGTTCCAAATTTCCTACTGCTTAGAATTGGAGTAATGTTTCTCATGATACTGTATTTTGTAGTTTAGCTCAGTTCAGGTTATTTATTGAATAATTATGAAGGCTAATTAAAGGGGTCAGGTCACCCTGAATGGGTTTTGTGATATCTGACATTTAATTTGTGACGTTCAAACCATTTTAAATTCACATTTGAAAAACTTTGTTGGCACCACTGTCGCAACTGAATCGCTCTCCATTTTTCCCCCCAGAGTAAGTAAGTACAAATAAACGGTTGCAATCAAGTGACCTGGAACAATTTCAGGAAATGCTGGTTTTGTGTTTCATAAATTTTTTTGTCGCACGTCGACGCAACTTCTAGGAACGTCTTTTATTAAAAGAATGTCCTACGTAAAGGACCAGTGCTAATAAAATGGGCTATCGTACCGTTTTTAACAGCAGGGTTTTACCATTTCTTTCTAGTGTCAGTATACCGTGCAACACTGGAAGAGAGGGGCCGACGCTAGAGACAACAAACCCGTAAATCATTCTAAAGAACAAATGTACACATCCCCACCTCCTAGCAGTAGTTAACTGTGTATGTGAACGACTCTTTGTAAGTGCACAGCTGCCCCCCTTTAATGACAAAATGTTGTGAAGAAAAAGTGAAGAGAGAGAGAGCTTTTGGTCTTTAGACCTGAGCTTCTGATGGCGACTGTGTCACTCATAACCATTTGTGTTGTGGGAAGTAGCCATGCAAAAGCAGCCACATTGCTCAATTCCCAGTGGGCGGTTAGCACTGAGCCCTTCAGTCAGCGAGTCTTAGACGACACGCCAGGTGTCCGCTGCCCTCCTCTGTGCTCGCCCGTGCTAATGTCCTCAGCTGAAACATATTCGTCATCACCAAATTAATCAGAGGGTGTGGATGACTTCCACCCCACATCTGGAGAAATGTGACCGCCACGTCAGGGACACGTCAGGGACACGGCATTGACGCCCACATCCCAGGCATATTCGGTTACCCAAGGACAAATGCATGTCCACACCAGTTGTTGGTGTTTACTTAGTATTTCTCATTAAATGTATGATTAAATGAGTTGTGGTGTCTGTGCTTATCTCTGCCTCCTTCTACCACAGGCCGGGAAAATCATCATGTTCTACAAGGGGACGAACATCCGCATCCTCTGTCGATTCCTAGTGTGGGCCTTCATCCTGGTACGTTACATCATGCGGAGGCTGTAAACACAGCTGGTGAAGCAAATGAGTGTAAAAGTCAATTGATCATTGAAAACCAAGACAACAAATCACTTAAAACATCGTCCTGCCTCTATGACTCACACAGAACTAAGCACTTTTATGGTTTTGCCTTGCAACTTGTTTTCCTGCCACTCAGGTATTACTCATAGCCGCCGAAGCCAGTCATTAGCAGGACTTAGTTGAGGACATGTGTGTGTGTGTGATCTCGGTATAATTAAACAACATCCATGTGTGGCTGTGTTTCCGGGCAGGCATGGGTATCCAGTGCCTCAAGGGCATACACACTGTCTCTCATTGCCTGTGTGCCTCACATGTGGTTTTAGATTAAAAGAGTTGTGCATATTACTTACAGTCTACTGCATCTGATGAAGAGAATGGCTAATTCATAAACCTGCACAGTCTCAACAAATATTTACAGACCAATCACATGACGGTATGGATACAGTGGAATAACAGAAATAGATCAAAGTCCATTCAAACCCAGAATAAAAAGATTAATTTCTTCATAAATCTGCGACGAGAGCATTCGTGGTTGTATTTGTTTTGGATCCGTGTTCGTTCTGGGTGGTCTCAAAACACAAGAAGAGGCAAGCTGGCCTCTATTTCATTGAGAGGGGGAATGCGTCCCACAGGGAGAAGCCAAGTGTTACACGAGACGGCCCGTTTTGCATTTCTAAACCTGTGACAGGAGGCTGTGAAGTCTGCTCTAACGAGATTGACAGATATCCATGGAGAAAGTCTTTGCCGAGCTCTGCTTGGCCGCTGTCTGTATATGCACGTACAGCGAGATGCTGCAGAGATGTAGCCGGTTTGTAAAGTGTTGTTAGTAGGAGCCTGCATGCCGTGGAGGCAGACATCCTGAGCTGGCAGTGCTGTGACCTGAAGCGATGATGGAGCTGGAGGAGCCGGCTGCATCACTCAGCCTTTGAAATCAAACTGTGCAGGATGAAAAGGAAAAACACAGAAACAGATCCAATTAGTTTTAGGTTGTGTACGTTGTTGTACATTACTGTTACTTTTCTACTATTTTAGATATCAGGTTCCTGCAGACTGTGTCACTGTTTGACCAATGTGATTAAACCACACTGAAGGTTCTTAAACTAAGCAAACGACTTCATCCATTAGCTTAGTTTTTATCACTGCTACATCTGACATGTAGGTTTGTCGCAGCAAGTCAAGTTTATTTGTGTAGCCCAATATCGCATGCAATATCTCAATGGAGTTGTCAGGCCTGTGATGCTAACGGCTCCTCTTCTAGCCCATACTTTCCACAAAGAAAAACAAAAATCCCCCAAAAACCTCAGCATGTGAGAAAACAAGACGAGGAGTGCACAGTCATGCTCGCAGCTCCGTGAGGCTGCATTTAGCCACAGCAATGCTTTGCGCTAAATGCTAACATGCTCACAATAACAACATGCAAGCAGTTATGTTTACCGTGTTACAGTTTAGCGTGAAAAAAGATAAACAAGACATCAGGTTCGCGACTGATGAGATACAGACCAGATTGACTACTTCTCTTAGGGGACTGCTGTGTCATTGTCAGTGTCTGTGTTTTTCTCTATCAGTGGTACATCTTTTAAAACTTTCCATGATTCTAAAACATATTTTCCCATTACAGTAAAGTCGGGGCTCCACAATTCCTTAAGATTCATCATCTGGGAACCATGAATGTCTGTACCAGATTATGCAAACACATTTTCAAGACAATTTGTTCAACATCTATTTCATTCTGGAACAAAGTGGTGGACAGACAGACAAACACTGCCGTCCCCGAACAACAAACAAGAAAACTAAAAGGTTGTTTAAACCCATACTACAACAATATTGTAATCCAATAAGTATTTCATAATTGTAATAGGTCAGGATGTGATCAGGTAAGAATCCTCTTCATATAATGTATGTGAGAATCAATTGAAATTCTCTTGTGAGAATTGAATGTCGTTAACCTCAATTCTTAAATGACAAATCTCCCCATTATGTCTCCCGGTGTTGAATCTTATTGACTATCATTGTGGAGCGAGTGACTGGAGGGAGCTGAAATATATTAGATCCATTTGGCTTCTCCCAGAGGCACAGAGTGATAAAGTAACACACGAGGAAATAAATAAACATTAGGCGTTTATGTTTCCCCCACTGTATCTCTTGGTTCACTGGCTGTTGCTACATAGACGGTGGGGATGCTACTCAAGATTGTGATGCTGGAGATGTTATATTCAGGATCATACAGCGTTTAGTGATTGATCAATACGGGGACTTAAAATCCTGCTTAACTGAAATGGCGAATAACAATAAAATAGATTTTCTCACGTTGCAATGGTTGATAGAGAGAGCTGGCCTTCTTTTTTTTATTGATTCTGGGAAGAGATACAGACCAGATGTGTAAAGTATGAATACAGCCTATGATCGTCCCACATGTTCTGCTGCGTTTGTATATTTACTTTAGTTTCTTCTTTAATCTCTAGTAGCTAAATAAGCTAAATCTCTTTTTAGTCCCACAAAAGAAAGAAAGCTAAATAAGTGTTTGGCCTGCTCTTCATATTGCCTTTTCTAATCTGATTTTGCCTGAGAGGGGAGGAAGAGCAGAGCTGAACTGCCTCTAGTTTCAGACATGTGCTCTTAACATTAGCAGGTCGTCTCGGTGGAGGAGGGAGCTCATTTCTGCAGGCATCCAACCACAGGATTGATATTATGCACAGGAGGTTCACCAACCAGAACCAGAAAGTGTTGATACAGTAAAAGACAAGCCAGGTTTTACACCACAGCTCTCTGTGGTTTGATTTTTTTTGCGCGGATTGATATTCAGGGGCGACCATGCATCTTCCTCCTAATAAACAACAGCCCCTGTTAATTAAAATCCAACGATCAGGCTCCAGAAGTGAGATTAAAATTGAGCGATTGCCCCACATACCAGCCCCGTCCCACATCCTGCTGCCTGGATAGCCTGGAGACTCAATCGTGCCCCGGCTAGGCTATTTCCACACCATCGATTCTGTCATCTATACACATGATGGATATGCATCTAACTAGCATGTTTGGACTCTGATCCATTGCCCTGGGTTTGTCTCTGGAGCACACAACGTTTCCTCAAGTATCTAAATCACATGTAAAGTTAAATAGATGAGACAATAAAAGCTTTTATTGATATCATACACAGTTCCTCTGTATCGCGGCTGATGAGGCTGTGGAGTTGACTTCAGACGGGGTGTGACCCTGTAGGTGGCTGTCTTTGAGGTGCACGACATTCCAGTGTGGAGGCTCAAATTGGCGTGTTTGCATTCCGATATTGTGTGTGTGTGACTTGATGGAACTTAATCATCGGACTTTCAGATAATCGGTTAATCTGCCGGACTCTCTTTATTCTGTTGCCTCACGTTTTAGCAGCCCAATACTGCTTGCTTTATCGCCCTCCATCGATTTGAAATCTGTTTCATTTCCACCCTCAGGGAATCTCTGCAGCCATCCTTTCTAAGTGCACACGAGACGGAGGATTTATACCTGTCAATAAAAACCTTTGGTAAGTGCTTCCTGACCCTCTAAATCCAGCCACTTTTCCTCACAAAAGAAAGGATGGGTTTCCAACGGGCACAAATCAAGGTTGCTAAAACACGCGTTTACTTACCTCTAACGACAGCTACGACTGTAAATAATCACCCGCGCTGTCGGGAGTGTGAGGTGGAGAGGTTATACATCCTCACAACATGATCACTCTTCCTTACAGCCAGGAAAATAGAGGATGCTTTATCCTCTCTACTCACTCGCTACACATTTTACCAGCTCCGTGTGATGGAATGAGATCAAGCTCTGGGAAAAGGCATCTATACAACCACAGTGTTGACTCACCGCTCCCAAACTATCATATGCCTTTTTGGTAAAACAAGGCGCGGCATCTTGATAAGTGTGTATAATGGTTTTGCATGAAATGCAGCGTAATTTGAACCTCAGACGCAGATTACTTTACGACCTATGCATTTGTTCCACTCCCACATTCCCCTTGATATGATGTGAATCATTTTAATGTTGCAGCAGGAAGAATACCATTTCATCTGTGATGTGTAAGCAAATTCTTCATGATGTTCCACAGGGGCCCCCGCTAACGCTGTGCTCATCCCTCGCCATTACCTGCCTGGCTTTTATAGGCAGTTCATCATACACAGGTTATTGAGCTCTTGAGTACAAGTCCCTGCCTGGATGTCTAGAAGTAATTAACTCCCAGCTAAGAATCCTTTTTGGCCCCACTTCAGCTGAGATAAAAAGCCCACTGCAAGGAGGCTCCGGGAGGCAGCCATTTTACATCAGATGATATTACATCAAACATTCTTGCACTTAGGAACAGACAGGGACATGGCTGGCTGGCACGGCTCCACGGGGGCACGTGCCAAGGATCCACCGCTGATGCCGGGACAGTTTGCTGGATTGGCTCGAGACCCCTGGGCGTTATTTAGCTGCAGCACAGGATTGATAGACTCTGTGTTTTTACACCCTTGTTCACACCGTACCACTTACATTTTAGTGATGCCCAGATGTACGTTGTTGTAAAGTGTTGCTGATGGTCTGTCTCTCCAGGTCGTTGTCCTATGTGTTGTGTATGGGCTGTTTCTCCTTCCTGCTGCTGGGAGGCATGTACTTTGTCATCGATATTAAGGGCTGGTGGGGCGGACAGCCGTTCATATACCCAGGTACTGTTTGTTCACAAATCAATGGGCTCACTGTATTACACTGGTATGTTATGCTTTGGTTACAAACATTATTGGCACATGATTAAGCACCTTGACTACATTGAAAAATGCAGTTATTTTCTTAAAGCTGTTATTGTGGTAACATTTTTATATTAACAATGGGTCATGTGACTACTTGTAGATCTAAACAGCTTTATTGAACGTTGTAACGTCTTTCAGCTCGCTGTTTTATTTTTCTGGCCTGTAACTGTAATGTTTTGGTCTCCCCCCTCTCAATGTTGTTTCCATAAACAGGTGGCTGTATTCAGCTAAAATGCTCTTGAAGCCCACTGTACACAGCCTACCCAGCAGCAGACAGACATAGTTAGCGGCTAGCTGGTGAACATAGCGGAGCATTTAGCAGCTAAAGAGTCATATTTCCCTCAGAAGTTGGCAGAGAGCAAAACAGAGCTACAAGGAGAGTGAATATTGAACTTGAGGCCAAATTACTGCGTACTTTTCTTTGTCTCTGTCGGATGTGTAAATAAGCAACCGTTTGCTAACAAGTTCGCTAACAAGTTCGCCACGTCAACTTTAGATATGATGACATATCAGTGTTGCGTTTACAGCTAAAACATCAGTTAAATCAGGCGTAAAGGAGAAATTCTGGTACATTTCAACCTGAAATAATTGCAGCCATGTTGACGACGCTTTAAGTTCACTTTGCACTCGTTACCTCCATTGAAGTAATTGGGGAAACAGGAAGTCTGATATATCTGAGCAAGCAAATGCAAAACCAGTTTTATATTTAATTCTTTAGTCTTGATCAGACTCAGAGGCGAGCGTTTAAAATGATTAATGTAAAATTATTTATTTTGAAATGTATATTTTGTCCGAATAAAAGTTTTCCAAATCTCTACAGCGGAGGTGGTGAGAGGTACAAATACTTTACATTAGGACAGAGTAGTCCTGTTTGACTCTCCTCCTCTCCTCTCCTCAGGGATGAACTCCATCTTTGTCTATGTTGGCCACTCTCTCCTGGGTTTCTACTTCCCCTTCAGCTGGGAGATGCGCTTCCAGGAGAGCCACTGGGAGTGGCTCTTCCAAAGCCTGTGGGCGACCGCTCTGTGGGTGCTCATCGCTTACCTGCTGTACAGGAAGAAATTCTTCCTCAAAATATAAACCAGGATGATCAAATGTCCCCTTTTCATTCTATAGATGCAATTTTTTTTTGTTCGACGCAAACGATATTCATGTTAAATTATATAGATTATCATAACTTCAGTGGGAAAAATCTGGCCTACTGTTGTTTGCATTTGAATGAATTGTACTGATGCTAATATCCAAGCCTTCTGATAAAACAAGCCGCTCAGAGAAAGTGCTTTTAAGTTTTTATCAAACATGCTGCAGCACAGCAAACAAGTATGAAAATGTTCATCCATGAAACCCATTAAATCGGCACATAATTTCTAAAGAACATGTCTGATTCATTGTCGGTGTGGGCAGCTGAGGATTTATTTGATGCCACTTGTTTTGTGCACTGAATAGACTGATTAAATCAAATATACTGAGGTGGTACTTAACAAATTACGCCGAGTGATTCCACTACACACCAGGCCAGCCATTATGAGTCTGTTGCCATGGCCACTCCTTCTCCTTCTGTCTGTGTGTGTGTGTGTGTGTGTGTGTCTGTCTGTGTCTGTGTGCGTGTGTGTGTGTGTGCGTGCGCGTGCGCCGATACCATCTGCTGTCCGAGTGACAGTACTTTAATAGGGGTCAAGATGCACAGCTCACAAAGGAGTTTCATTAATGGGACCGACACCTCTTGCACTCATTGTATTAGAAAATCAGGGAAATTACACAAATCCAATTCATCAGAGAGCAGCGACGTGCCCCCTCATAGAGCCTGAGCTCGTTACCGGTCTCACATTCTACACATTTAACACATTGAGCTACTCACCTGCTGAAACCCAGTTTATTTTACTGTTTGGATTATAACATTTCCACATGGTTGACAATCGGATTTATCGATGTGTAGAATGCACACATGACGGGAACCCTCAGATCAGTGTGCCCTCAGCATCAGGTCAGGTGGTGTGTACGTCATGAAATGAGCATCCAGTTAATGAAATGGAAAAGCATCGTGCTCTTCTTCCAGAGAGAAACCATACGACACACTGCTCAGTAATGACATTGCATAATATGCTGTAGTGGTTTTGGTAAGTGTGTTGCGAACAGAAGTTGTTTGAATCCCTGTAGGTGCATCCTGCCTTCTTGAACAACACTCAAGTTCATAATTGCCACAGCGAGTGATGGAAACGCATAGCTGCATCTTCTTGAGATGAAAATGAAATCAATACAGACTCACCACAGAGGTCTAAAGATGTATTTTGTGTGTTTACATGCAGTGATAAAGCTTTTTAATTTAAGATATAAGCATTTAGCTAACTCGATATGAGCGACTTACAGGAACTGCAGCAGCTCAAAACTCATTGGAAACATCACAAGAAGTTGTTAATACTGATCAGAATTAGAATGTCTAGACAGCGGAGATGATGAATATTCCGCTTATGTTTCAGATTGAATTTCTGAAACAGAAACATCGTCAGAACGAGCCCATAAGAAAGCGTTGTCGTGGATCCATGACTACACCACAGCATTTCCGTGTCTCTATTGATTCTCAGTGAGCGTATGTCTCAGGGTACCTATAGCCCGTCATATGGAAACTTTATCCCAGATACCACGTTCTCATTCAGACCGCTCGGCTCGTCTTGTATCGCATAATGATCCCCACACTCTCCCTTGGTACAGCCAGCAGCATCGACGGTGAACATGTGGGTACGGTATCTGCTCATGTATTGACATCAATATTATATCTGAAAGAAAGTGACACATTTCTTGGACATTTTTAAGCACCTTTATTTTATATTCATATATTGGGTTTTAGATAGAAGCTGAAAGGTGAATCAGTGTTGTGTGGCTGTGTAACTATAAAACTGAATTTAATAGTAATATAATCTGGATATTATTAGGCTTTCAACTTGTATTTTCAGTATTTTCAGCAGGTCCCAAGTTAGTATAATTCAAATTAATAATATAATACACATAAATATGAACTGACTACAGCTATTTCTTTTACTTCCTCACATAGGATACTTCCTCTTTATATACAGTCTGTGGTTTCTTCTAGTGTTTCCTTTTTAATATATAGCCTATTTGATACAAATGAGACAAATTGGACCAAAGACAGCAGGTGCAAATATATAACGGCAGTGTTTTCTTCCTCTTGGTGGAAGTGGCTGGAGCTCCTGAGAAGCCCTGCTGTCCCCTCTGCAGCCCAGTGAGCTCCAGACATTGATTGGAGAGCGATTGCTGTGTGAGTGACTGGTGTCCTGCCCCGAGGCTGCAGCAATGCATCACTCCACACACCATCCAGTCACAGAGAGATCCCTCACTTGAACAACGGCCTTTAGCCACGGACATACACCTGAAGGAGGGGGAGGGGGGTCCCGTCCCGTTCCGTCCTCAGAGGGGTTTGGCCAGAGTCACACAGCTGGTCTTACAGTGTTAGGCGATTTTGTGTAATTTATGAGCAAACAGACTGCACATGTTTGCTAGTTATTGGGGAAGTATAACTAATTCATATGGTGTTTTAGGGCTGCAGCTCAGCAGTGAAATGGTTCATCATTCAGCCTGATCCATGCCCGTTGGCAGGAGTTCATCAGATGCTGGGCCGCTGACTGAAACCTTGTTCTCAAATAGACCTTTTAAAAATATTTGGATCCACTGAAGAATCCATGAAGAACTATCATTGGTGCTGCTAGATGTGAAATAATGATTCACTTCATACATAAATGATTACAGATCTGTTATGATGAAGCAGTGATTAAAATGAGCTCACCTGATACCCTTTTTAATAAAACAGTGCCTGTACCTTTAAAATGCGCCATTTAATGATAATTGTTAATAATTTTTCCCCCCCGCGGAGTGTTAATGAGGTGACTGACCTGTTAAATTATGCTCTTAAATTTCCTGTAGATGCTGTGCTGCCTGCTGCTGCGGAAGCAGCGGGGTAGTGAAGCAGTGAGCCTCCTCCCCCTGTCCAGCCAGCCAGTTAGCCCAGCAGCAGCCACTGGAGCCGCACACAGCAGCGCGTCTCTGGGACACTGAGGATTTCATCCCCCTGCCCGGAGCCGCGCGCACAGGACACACACTGGTTTATACAGCGCCTTCATTGCTTTGAACGGTTTGATTTTTTTGGGGGATTTTTTTGTTTTTAGTATTCGTCGCTCTAAGGAACTTTTTTCAATCTCATTTCCATTCAGAAACTTTCACTTATGGTTCGCGAATATGGGGTCAAGTTGTGGTTTCTCTCGGGGAAACATCGTTGTGCTGCTGCTGCTGCTGCTGGAAGGTAAGCGTCATCTTTACATTTATTGGTAGACTCGTGCACATGAGGGGCCACAAGATGAAATTGGAAACAATTTTAAATGTATGTTGCACTAAAGACTGTTTACAATTAGTGGGTTACTTGAAAAAGATAGGGAAACATAACAATAATAATTATTTTTGTAAATAAAATAAAACTAAATGTTAAAGAGTAGAAAATTAGAAATTGTGTTTTATAATCCTAAATCCGGTTTGAGACATTATCTGTTAATCTGACAGCATCAGTTTTTGTTTAAAGCATCCTCTTAATCTCCTGTCAGTCAGAAAGGCTACTTGTGGTATGAAATAAGATATATAATAGTTTGGGATGCACTCTAAATTCACAAAATGTATGATTCTGTGCAAAACTGACAGTCCTATACGGTGCAACAAATTAAGAGAAATACAGAGAGGAAAGATTTCTGAGCTGCAACAAACTGAGCCAGTGGACCTGAAGTCTAGAAGGCAACTGACAAAATAGGCTACACATGAAATTGGCTGCTCATGTGTGAAGCTCAATAGCTTTGCTAAATTGCAACATTTTGGGTTTTAAGGCTTTTCCCAGAAGAGTCTGAAATGGCACGAACACAAAGTTGGCATCGTTTCTTGCTGCAGAAAGTGACTTGCATTGTGCGCTGTCTGTTATGCGTGGTATGGCACTCTGAAACCTGGAGTCAAATGAATACGGCCGTACATCATAATATTATAATCCCATTCACAATCCCACAGCCCAACTGTACCAACAGTTCCCTCCCATGCCGTCTATATTTAAAGTGTCTCTCATAGCTCAGGAGTGTGCAAATCTCATGTGTGTGTGGCAAGTATGTCAAATGTGATGCTTGGACAAATATAGGCCATTGTGTGGAATCCCTGAATTTGTTTTTGGACTTTGTCTTAAACTGAGGTTACTATCAGCGCTTTCATACGGGATATAAAGTGTAAAACTGGGATGCTCGTCACAGTCTTTTAGTGGCATTGAGATGTGAAGAGGATGTTCATTTCCATGTGGTTGGGTAGGAGCTGTTTCATGTCTGCCAAACTGGGCTTACACTACCAATAAACTACCAGCCTACGTAATCGCCCAAGGGAGCACTTTCCTGCAGTGTTGTTAAAATGATTAATGCCATTTTTAAGGTGCCACAGTTGTATGTAATGCGCTCTGCTTATCTTTCCCTGTGACAGACAGTGTGGCTCTCATTGCACGGGGCCTGAGAGATGTATTCTCACATCACACTCACAGTAGACATGATGCTCCCGCGTACATTTACATCTCGGCTCTGCTTTGTTCTGTGCGTATTGTCACCGAGGCCGGGCGCTCCTCCCGGTATTTGTAGACGAGCACAGTTGGTCCAGTTCGATTTCATATGTCAGGGACGTGATGGTAATTAAACGGGTGCTGAAACCTACACCTTACGTAAGCGCCTCACCTGCCTGTTTGCTGCAACAAAAGACCTCCACTTGTACAGAGGAGAAGAGGCGAGCTGCAGGCAGGTGTGCAGCAGCTGCTCCCATCTCTAGGCAAACACTGGCTGTTTGTTTTCTTCAGGAAAATATCGCCTGTTATACAAGTGCACACAGTGTTCAGATTGCACGTCGGACGTTAACTACCCCCAAAATGACACATCAGGTTTGATTTCTCTGTATATGTTGAAGCTGATTTTCTCATTTTATTTCACTTCTTAGAGGATGTTCTGACTGTTGACGTCATTAAGAATATGGCCTTTTCCTTCTGTACACTTCTTTATCAGTTATTCAATCTCCAAATGAGTTTGATAAATGTGTGGGTCCTCATCTTCTCAGTAATCTTGTTGTTGTAAATGTTGTGATGCACTTTTTGTATCGCATAACCTCTTATGCGAGATTATATCATGATACAAGTCATTAAATATTTGATAGAATCTTAGGAAGGGTTCGATTGTAGAAAACGGAAGATAGTTATAGGGTTTGGTAATTCCCATCATCATGGTTCCAGGTAACTCATTAGTTTAGTGTTTCTTGCTGAGTTATTCAAACAGAGGAAATTGGCAATCAGCGTTCACTATAAGAGTAATCAGCATTTTTACATTTGGCTGCGTTGCCAGGCACTTACGAGTAGAGACGTCATCCAAGTTACTGAAATCCTCTGGTCAGTCATGGCTTTGTTCAGATTTTGAACCTCTGATATCAGGAGGAAGCATAATGGGCTTTAGTGTGTGCTAATGAGATCTCATGACTTAGAATAGTTTAAAGGAACGCTGGGGGCTTATGGGCTGGTTTGCTTTTCAAAGGTTAACGAAACATTCAGAATTGAAACTCAATAATACCGTATGTGACTAAACCTGGCATAAGCCTTTACTGGAATGCACCAAATCCTTTTACACACACTTCTGTGTAATCCATCACTTCCACAAGAAGAGCCACAGATGTTTTCACATAAAAGCATCGATCCGTTTGTCTTCCACCGTGACCTTGCTGCTGTAGCTTTAGACCCTGCTTTG